GTCATGGGGTGGGGTGAAAATCACACCTACCTGTAGGACAGCTACAGGTAGGGTGTGGGAAGTGGGTAGGATTTGAATTGCAGCATGTGCTGGGGCATGACATTCAGGGAAGAGGGCTGTTAATATCAGCTTCCTCTATGTTTCTAGGGCATTTGTTCTCATTTCTGTTATAATATTTATTACGTAATATTATAATCAGTCATTTGCATATCCGCCCCCTGCGATGAGAGCTTTTTAAGAGCAGTGATACATTGTATTCAGTTTTTAGAAAAATTTGATATTTCATATAGTAGGCATGAAATAAATATTGAGTTAACAGGGGTGAATAAATGGAGGAATAAGGATGGAAAATGCATGATGTGGCAGAGCAGGGTTAGTATATGTGACAGGAGTACACAGTTAGAAAGGCAGCCTGGTGCCATGCTGAGGAAACCTTGAATGCCAGGCTACAGAAACTGCACAAAAGGGCTGCCATTTGTTAAAGTGGGAGGGACATTAAGTGTCACTTTAGGAGGATTTATCAGCAGTGATGTACTCACGGGTCAGAGTGTCACAGATGAGCTTAAGGAAAAGCGGCTAAGGGGACCGTGCAGTAGCCCAGATTTGAGATGCTACACTATAATTTCACTTTTAAAAAAGATCCACGTGATGTGACCCCAAAGATTAGACTCATGCTCCCTGCAAGTCCTCAGGGAGAGGAAGCCAGGATCGTTGTCATACAAGTCTATTACAGACACTGAGGGTAATCATGTTAAGTGGCTGCCTGACATCCCGGCATCCTGTGCAACCTTGAAATTCCTCAGGATTTACTCCCCCTCTGCAGATAGCTTGGTGGAGAGTGGTGATCAGATGGCAGCTTTGCACACAGCCACTTATCATAATAGGGAGAAGTGGGTCCTAAGTAGCAGAAAGACATTTATCAGTTTCTGAAGAGCTGACCTCTCCTCTGGTCAGGCAAAGATGAAAGTGTCACCTCTGCTGCTAAGTGCCTTCCACGCCAGGAGTGCAGAACCTTGTTCACAATCAGATGGATGATTTGGACCTACATCCTGTCTTCGCAATGTGCCAGTCTCAGCACAGGAATGGAAGGCTGAAACGTCTAAAGTGTTTTCGTGTGTTGAATTCATGAATCGATTATGCGTTTGCTCCCAATAATCACTGCTAAACGCAATGGGGAAATATTTCTGCTTTGATCTAGATCACTGTACACGGTCTGCTTGGAAGGCCAGCTTTCAGACACCTACCCTACTTCCCTTCTTCTTGCTCCTGGGAAGAAACAGAAATCTCTCCACCGCCTTCTGAACTGCTTATGATAGAAAACGTCAACATGTTCCTGGCCATTGCAATTGTCTTTGGTCACATGCCCTGGGATTGAAGGGACTCTGTCCCAGAACTTCCATAGCAGGAAAAGCAACAAGGAGAGCCATACACACTCGTTCCCCGAGCTTCTTGCAAGCTCACTTACCTTAAATCCCAGCTTTCTTCGCCACCATCACTCAAAACCAGTGACTTATCTAGTGTATTTGACTCTGAGATGATCATTTTCCCCTCAACATTTTATTAACAAAAACTTCAAACAAGCAGTTGAAATACCTTTATAGTGTAAATGCAGATACCCACGCCTAGATTCCACCATTCAGTTTGCTCTGCTTGCTTTATCATGTAGCTGCCCACTTAGAGTAGATCATTTCTTTCTATCTTTGGTTTTGTATCACTTGGTCAAGATTTATTTCAAAGCCTGAAGGCATTCAGACTAATTGAGGTGGTACTCCAGTTAATTTGTTATACTATGCAAATAATATAAATTGTTGAAAAAATGTTGACACAATTCTTAAACGAAGATACCCTTTGATTTTCAAAAGTGATGGCTATTTACCAAGATGTAAGATGACAAAACATCAAATAACTTTCACACACCTAAGGAGAACTTAATTAGCAGCAAGCTATTCAGACAAAACAAACACAGATATTTTTACAATTTCCGTGTCTGTTTTAAACTTTGTTTCAAAAAGCCACTAACAAATGAGGCTTCTTTCAAGTACAGGATTTCTAACATTTACTATTACGTTTTCTAAATATTTCTATAAAATATAAGAAAGCCACAAACAGTGTTGTTTGCCATAAATACATATGCCAAAAAGTAAAACTCAACCCAACTGAATTTACACATGCTTCTCCCTTCCCCAACAACGTTATATGCTTTTCTATATAATTTATAAATATTTTAATTAAATTCAGCTCTAATTCATCTTTGCAGATTACAGGAAACTGATGCATTATCTTTAGAAATAGCTTCTGCATACTTCTGCTCCAACCCCACCCCCATTTGCCACCAAATTTGTTGCTAAAGTGAACAGTGATGCAAGGTGCTGTCTGAGGGACCCCGAAACCCCCTGTAATCTTAATTTCCTAAGTATCCAAGGATTTCAACTTTCTGCCAGCATAAACAAAAAGACTCAAATGGCCAAAAATCATACAGTTATTAGGAGGCAAAAATCCATATTACGAAAATTATTTAAGTAAAATTTTATGGCTTTCCCTGAAGCTACACGCACTCTTCAGACAAGCATCACATTAGATTGTGCGTGCGCAACCACAGCAATTCAGATTTGCTCTAGAACATATGCTTGCATTACAAATAAATAGCTTTCTAAATATTTTATAGTTTAACTGGGTTTTCAATAGCTTTGCTAAAGGCAAACATTTTTTGGTCTTTAAGAAACTGGTACATATAAATGAATGGCTACATGGTCATTTAAATCTTAAGGAAAAGTAAAGATGAAGTTTGCTGTTTTGTTTTTTCTATAAAATGCAATGCCTACATATGCTTAACCACTGTTCTATACAGAAAGAATGGAATGGTATGGACAGATGCAATCTCTTTTAAGTATGCAGTTATAGGATATTCTAAATAGGATAAGCTGACATTGACAATCATTTAAAGGAAGAAGACCAAAGTAAAAAAATTGCTGCAGGATAGAAACATCTACTGTTAAAAAGAAAAAAGTGCTCCCTAACACAAAAATGAGACCTACACATCCAAAAACCCTTATCTGCTGTCTTAAAATCCAAACACAAAAAAACCATGATAGGCAGCATGTGTCTAGTCCACAAATTGAGGCAATGCCATACAAAAATGAAGATGGTGGCCGGGCGTGGTGGCTCATGCCTGTAATCGCAGCACTTTGGGAGGCCGAGGCGAGCGAATCACGAGGTCAGGAGTTCGAGACCAGCCTGACTAACATGGTGAAACCCCATCTCTACTAAAAATACAAAAATTAGCTGGGTGTGGTGGCACACACCTGTAATCCGTTACTCAGGAGGCTGAGGCAGGAGAATTGCCTGAGCCAAGATTGTGCCACTGCACTCCAGCCTGGGCAACAGAGTGAGACTTCATCTCAAAAAAAAGATGGTACAATAATGTGACCTCATCAAGGAAATGACTAAAATAAGATTTCCCAAGTGTCCTCATGTTTATGACAATATATGAATGCACAAAATATCAAAAAGTACAAAATCTGGATTTTTCTTTTAGGATATAAAGTATCAAACTTCTGTTTAGTGCATTTAGTTTTATAAGCCCCATCTGTTCAGCAGCGAATCTATATGAGTACATATATGCTCATATTTTACCATTGGAATTATACTTCTGATCTCAAACTAGCGACTTGCCTTTTTACCCATGCTTGCACAAATTTCATTTCCATTATAAGACAAATACCTTTTAGCGATGCATTTGAATTGATATATTACATAGAAAAGAATACTGATTTTTAAATGAATCTCTTTTGTACTATGTCACGATGGGTTTAACAGTTGAAACATACAATGGCAACTACAGTGCTCTGTTTAAACTAATTCATAGCTGTAGAGAAATGTTTCACTTTTAAAATACAGCCAAGATGAGATTGCACAGTTATGAGCAGTTATGTTTTCACTAGAAAACAGGGAATGAATAAATAAGATGATTTTTTTTCGTCAGTGGCCATTCACCATTTTGGTTTTAGGAACCTGAAAGAAATTATCTTCTTTGCCTTTCAAATATTCTGGCAAATGAATGGTTTCTTAGTTTTCTCAATATCACCGTGGATTGCTGAAACAAGTGACTATAAAGAACCCAAGAAGTTCTTTTCTGATTAGTCATTTCCTTTATGAGGTAGCCAACGATAGCCACATGGAGGATTTCTCCATGGAAGTCCGAGTTCATTGCAGCCTCAGTTCTGTGCCCATGAGAGCCTACTACCTCACCTCCCAAAGAGTAGCTGGAATTTATGGTGTACCACCACACCCTGCTTTCTTTTTGTTTTTTGTTTTTTTTGTACAAACAGGATCTTGCTAGGTTGCCCATACTGGTCTCAAACGCCTGGCTTCAAGTGACCCTCCTGTCTGGGCCTTTCAAAGTGCTGGGATTACGGGTGTGGGCCACTGTGCCCAGCCAGAAGTCCTCTTTTTTATATATATATATATATATAGTTTAATGTATTTTAACAGCAAACTTACAGAAACAGCACAGAAGACAGACAACATTAAAAACATGTACGTGCATGTAGGACAACTCAGAAAAGTATAGTGAATGGATGGAATCTACCGTATGGTAAAAATGCTACAAACACCATTGAGTTGCGGTCAATAAGAAATTTACCTGTTTTAAAAAAATCCAAATGCTGGCATTGTCCAGAAAAATTTAACAGGTTTATTTATAATTATCACCAAGTTGAGCCGCTGAAACGTGTTCACTGAAACATTTTAACTTGCATTCATGCTTTACGTCTCCGCATTTATATTAAAAATTCACACACAAATGAAAATGGAAAAACTGCCAATACCTGATTTCTGTCCCCTATTTTTCCACTCGCAATCATATACTTAGATACCTTTTGACCCCATGGAAAAAAAATTACCTAAAGTTCAGAACTACCAATAACAGGAAGAAGAGAATTTTCTTTTTCTTTTTTTTTTTTTTTTTTTGAGAATAAAATGTTTCCCATCGTAGTGGATTCTTAAGCCCCCTCTCCACGTAGGCGGCGTGCTAGCTGGATGTCTTTTGGCATAATTGTTACACGTTTGGCATGGATAGCACAAAGGTTGGTGTCTTCAGAAAGGCCAACCCTATAGGCCTCACTGGCCTCCTGCAAAGCACCGGTAGCTGCGCTCTGGAAGCGCAGATCTGCTTTAAAGTCCTGAGCAATTTCTCGCAGCAGACGCTGGAAGGGAAGTTTGCGAATCAGAAGTTCAGTGGACGTCTTCTTTTTTTTAATTGCATTTTAGGTTTTGGGGTACATGTGAAGATCATGCAAGATAGTTGCATAGGTACACACGTGGCTGTGAGAGTTGCTGCCTTCCTCCCCTCACCCATATCTGGCATTTCTCCCCGTGCTGTCTCTCCCCAGCTGCCCCCCGCAATTTCACGGGGTGCCACAGTCCCGGGCCTGTAACGATGAGGTTTCTTCGCCCCTCCAGTAGAGGGCGCACTCTTGCGAGCGGCTTTTGTAGCCAGGTGCTTCCTGGGTGCTTCAGCACAGGTAGACTTGCGGGCAGTCTGCTTTGTACCAGCCATGGTATAGAGACGCCCTTACTTACCCACTTCTCCTTCGGCTGGAGCTCGGCGAGCGAGAGGCGGCGCTGGCCTTGGAGAACCACGGCGGCGCGGCGGTGGCTGCGAACACGATTCCAGAAGTCCTCTTGAAAAGCATGCACGGTCAAGCCTGTAATCCCAGCACTTTGGGAGGCCGAGGCGGGTGGATCACGAGGTCAAGAGATCGAGACCATCCTGGTCAACATGGTGAAACCCCGTCTCTACTAAAAATACAAAAAATTAGCTGGGCACGGTGGCGCGTGCCTGTAATCCCAGCTACTCGGGAGGCTGAGGCGGGAGAATTGCCTGAACCCAGGAGGCGGAGGTTGTGGTGAGCCGAGATCGCGCCATTGCACTCCAGCCTGGGTAACAAGAGCAAAACTCCATCTCAAAAAAAAAAAAAGAAAAACAAACAAACAAACAAACAAAGCATGCATGGTAGGCATCTCTGTGGTTTTTTTATTTTGTATTTTTGTTTATGGATTTCACCCTATGTTCACCACCATCTTATGGACATTACTGCTTCCCAACTGGCCCACCCATGAAAAATGCAGTGGCTACACCGGTTGGAAGGTTATGTACCATTTGTTCTGGGTAGTTAGCTATGAGGATGCCCAGCTACTTGGAGCAGTGGCCCAGGCTCTGCACCACTTGGCTCCTGCAGAAGTACAGCAGGTGCCTCTGCTGCCATGCATGGCATGGGCTGCAGTGTGACATCCATGCATCTGGAAGAGCTGCAGTCGAGGCAGTGCCTGGATCCCCTGGACTAATCTGGGGATGTGGGCATGAGCTCTGCCGACCGATGGGCTCACCAGGGACCAGGCGGTGCCAGCGACACCCTGCGGTGGGTCCTTCACACTGTCGACCCTGCAGAAGCTTCCCAGATACTCAGAGGCTGCTCCTCCTTAGAGTGGATCATTTCTTAACAATCTCTTCCCCTATATAGTAAATTTTTTTTCAGTAAGAATTATAAAATAAAACTAATAATAACACTGATGAGAAAAATTTTAGTCAACTTTGTATATATAACTATGCTAGCAAAAATAAAATTAGCAACATACATATTGCATACAGATTATTACATACAAAAATATTACACCTTGCAGTTCATACTTTGTGTAACCGTATTAAATTTTAGGTATAAATTAACTCAGTGGTCACGTAGAAGGACAAATGAAATAACTGAAGTTCTGTTTCTTGGTCTTTACATTGTGCTATTATTGCTTGCTTCAAATCCTCCCTTTAAATGCAGGAATATGTAATCCCACAGGCATTATACCAAATACATATATATTAAATGCAGGAATATGTAATCCCACAGGCATTATATCAAATATATGCATATATATTTTTTTTAGGGAGAAGTATTTTGTCACTGACATTACCCAGAACTGCTGGCATGGCGAGAGTGAAAAGCAGCCTTCGGTTGGTTTTATGGTTGCTTTTAAATTCTGCACACTTAAGCAGAGCCTCCTGTTATTTGCTGCTTCTTTTCAGCCTTGGAGGTGTGAAAGGGAAACAAGATTGTGGGACGCCAGTTAAAGGCTGTAGAGACAGATTTTCCTCAGCACTGTTGCAACAGGAGAAAGTGAATTCGATATAGAGCTGAGCTAGATTTCAAATACAGCAAAGAAAGCTGGGGATTAGTAGCCAATGCGCAGAGCGAGGGGGTCCATGGATGGAAATGACTAAGGGAAACATCAAGCGTAGGGGCATGCTTGCTAAACTGGACAGTCAGGGTTCTTGTTACAGGCAGCCAGGGACTTACACACCCAGGGTAGGGGATAAAGAACTTGATTAGATGTCAGGGGTATTTCAAGGCCACTCTTGAATGAAAAAGAAAAAAGAGGCCGGGCACGGTGGCTCAAGCCTGTACTCCCAGCACTTTGGGAGGCCGAGGCAGGTGGATCACGAGGTCAAGAGATCGAGACCATCCTGGTCAACATGGCGAAATCCCATCTCTACTCAAAATACAAAAAATTAGCTGGGCATGGTGGCACGTGCCCATAATCCCAGCTACTCAGGAGGCTGAGGCAGGAGAATTGCCTGAACCCAGGAGGCGGAGGTTGCGGTGAGCCGAGATCGCACCATTGCACTCCAGCCTGGGTAACAAGAGCAAAACTCCGTCTCAAAAAAAAGAAAAAAGAAAAAAACTCAAGGGTGATCAGATATCAAGGGTATGGGGATTCCTGCTAAACTGACCACATAGGCCACAGACAGGGCCCAAGGACAAGGTCTAGTTGAAAAGAGAGCTCAGAGGAACCTGAGCTCTCTTTGGTCATGGAAAGAGTCTTTGTCAGTGGCCATTGCTAAGTATATATTTTTTATTTATATTGGTGGAATATGAGTTAGTTCTAGAAATAAGTAGAGAAATAATACAGGAAAGATGAGCCATTAAAAGTAATATTATAAAGCCTAAACCACTATTAGCAATTTCATCAGTGTGAATAATAAATAACAAAACCGAGGAGGCAAATTTTACAACATGACTTAATCTCTTTTTTTTCTTTTTGTTGCTCTGTCTCATTTTCCCCAAGTTAGATCAAATTTCAGGTGTGAGGTAACTCCACCGATCTTACAGCACTTTCAGCAGGCGGTCCCTCGCTTGTCGTACGCCCAGCCCCTGAGCAATGCCGAAGGTTGTGTCTGGATCAGCAGAACGGTGGTTTCTGCTTTAGAGTGTGACAGATCAGCTTTCTGTTGATGCCCAGTGTCACAGGGTGACGAGGTTCCAGCAATCCCTGCCTTTTCCTTCCCGTCTGCTAAGAAAAATTCTGACCCTGCTTCTCAGGATTATCCTTTCCATGATGGGTCTAATTCAGACTGACATTAGGAAGAAAGGGGGAAATGGAAACCGGGGCTCCACAGCGGAGGGGACAGCGGAGGGGCTCCAGGTTTATTGAGGACTGACTGGGGGAAGTATGGGGAGACCAATGGAAAAAACGTCCCCTTGGATACAGGTTCTCAGTAAGCATGGCTGGGGAGTTGGGAGCAGGACTGAAGAGTGAGTCTTCTGGAGCAGGCAGGAGATGCCAAGCAAGAGACATCAGGTGTGAGGACTTCTCAGCCGTAGTGCTGAGGGTTGTCAGTCAGACCTCTACGTATCCTTCAGGAGACCCAAGTAAAAATTATAATGACTTTTAAATGTTTCTGGATCATGGGATTGTGTTTCTTATAAGAAAACCTTGCCTTGAGGCTGGCTGTACTCTGAAGGGCCTGACTCCTATTAAAGTTACACGAAACCTTGAGTTTGGGGTGCAAAGCTGAGTGCTAGGTCCCTTTAACATTTACAATATAGCAATGAGGCGGCTTCAGTTTCTGAACTGAACCCGCTGGAGGTAAATTGATTCCACTCCTCTGAAAGCTGGCTTAATGCGATGACGGTTCTCTCCATTCTTCTCCAGACAGCATATAAGGGGTGAAAACTGGCTTTGAGACACCCTGGGTGATCACACAAAACACCTAACTATGGACAAAGAAAACAGCGACGTTTCAGCCACACCTGCTGACCTGAAAGTAAGTACAGGGTGAGAAACTTTCTCTCTCACTTCAATGCCATTTATCGGTGACCTTGTTAGTAAAATGAGATTATATGACCTTATATAAATGAAGGAAACAATAATAAAATATTTTATCTTCTTATGTTACTTAATGGGTTTTACAAATGTGAGTTTAATATAAAGTGCTGTACTTGACAATTGATTTGTAGCTATTTTTCTAAAACTCGAGGGAAATCGTAGTGATCTCTACACAAATTCCACTTTAAAATTTAATCAGTGCTAACTGAGACTGCCTATAATGTGTTTCTGCACTTAAAGCTCCAACCTTGGCCTTGTTGGTTCACGTACTGACATTTCTACGTGTTTCTTTCTTTACTTCTTTTGGGTTGTGCTTGAAAGTAGCGTGACACCATCAACTCATTCTGCAATGGAAAGCTTCTCTCTTCAGACACTCCACCCTCATTCCTGCAGGACACCACATTAAATGATGTCTGGTCTAGTTCAGTTTCACCAGAAGGGATACAGGCGACATTTCACTCCAGGGGTTGACAAGGTGTTTGGCAAAAAGAATGAAGGAGCCATGAATAATTCAGAGTGTTCGTGGCCACATATTATTTCATTAATTGGCAGGATTAAAGACTGGAGGGCATGAATTTTGAAGAGAAAAGTGAGGGGAACGAAAAAGAGGAGAGAACTCGTAAGGACAGCGCGAAAGGGAGATGGTTTCTTTGGAACTGGCATTCCAGACTGTTGCCTTTAAGAGAATGTGTGGTTAAAAGCTATTTCATCTCCGGAGTTTAGTTACCCTGACATGTATAAATCTCTCCTTAAAAGAAGCTAAACTCTTGAATACATTATTAAAGAATTCACAGCATCAAATAGCAGAGGGTAGACAAGAAAATAAAAGAGGAGGAAGGGAAACAGTTAAATAATGTATATTTCACTGTGGCACATAACACTATGCACATGGATACACTTCAACCAACAGTTTTCTAATCGAGTGAGTCTTCTATTTCATTCTTTGATTTACTTTTAAATAATTCTTTCATTTATAATTGAGAAACTGAGTCACTAATTAGGTCAGTGGCTGGCAATGGTAAACAAACATTCAACTCCTAACCTACAACCCTAAGCAAATTATCATATCACTTTTACTTTCCTTCCTACCACAGTCATGAAGCTGTAACTAGGAAATCAATTCACTTCTGTGGGGGACTCACTTCTTATTTTCAATACAGCCCAGAAATAATAGATTGTGAGAGGAAAGCACTATAATACACATATGTGAAACACACATACACAAAAAGGACTGTGGTGAGGTGTGGTGGCTCATGCCTGTAATTCTAGCATTTTGGGAGGCCGAGGAGGTCAAGAGTTCAAGACCAGCCTGACCAACATGGCAAAACCCCGTCTTTACTACAAATACAGGATTGCCTGGCAGGTGCCTGTAATCCCAGGTACTTGGGAGGCTGAGGCAGGAGAATCGCTGGAATGCAGGAGGCAGAGGTTGCACTGAGCCGAGATCATGCCATTGCACTCCAGCCTGGGCAACAAGAGTGAAATTCTGTCTCAAAAAAAAAGAAAAAAAAAAAGACTGTGTACACACATGAATCTACCCACATAGAATCTTAACCTTAATCTCTCAGCCTTCAAGTCCTCTAGTCTACTTTACCCCATGAAATTTGGGCCTCTCCTCCACAGCGTCCCTTCAACAGAGTTGGAGAGTTGAGGAAAGAACCTGGAAACCATTTCACTGGGGCTCGTATATAATGTCTAGTTTATCTGGTCTTCATTTTGTGACTTGGTGCAAATCGACTTATACTTAATAATTGGATATACTCACATAAGTCAGAATGCTTAGTTCTAGTTAGGCTCTCAGCACCGACGCCTCCTGACTGGGTAGTTTCATTTAAGCTTTAGACTACTTCTACTTGGTAATGGATCTTTTTTTTTTTAAAGATATCCAATATCTCAGTCCAAGTGGTCAGTGCCCAAAAGAAGCTGCCAGGAAGACGACCACCGTTGCCAGGAAGACGAACACTGCAAAAGCCCATTGGCAAATCCAAAGCCAAGAAACAATGCAAGAAGAAAGTTCCCTTTTGGAATGTACAAAATAAGATCATTCTCTTCACAGCATTTTTATTCATTCTAGCAGTCATAGCCTGGACACTTCTGTGGCTCTACATCAGTAAGTTAAAAATCTCTGTTTCTTTGGGGTTAGGGCTTACGGTGAGAATCTCGCCTTAGCAATGCCGGCCTAACACAGGTGTTTTTAATGGGATTTTCCTCTTTCCAACATAGATGCACCATTTCCAAAACTGGTGTTGATGGTTTTTTGTTATTTTGTTTTGAGACAGGGTCTTGCTGTGTCACTCAGGCTGGAATAGAGTGACACAATCACAGCTCTCTGCAACCTTGAACTCCTGGGCTCAAGCAATCCTGCTGCCTCAGCCTCCTGAGTAGCTGAGACCACAGGGACATACCACCACACCTGGGCTAATTTTTAAAATTTGTTGTAGAGACAGAGGTCTCACTACGATGCCCAGGCTGGTCTCAAACTCCTGTACTCAAGCGATCCTCCCACCTTGGCCTTCCAAAGTGCTAGGATTACATGTGTGAACCGCGGCACCCAGCCTGGTGCTGATGTTTTAGGGAGACATAAGCTAGAATTGTCTTTCTCATTTCTTTTTTTTACCAACACCATTCTTCCCATAGGAGAGAAAGAGGAGGAGACTGGGGATAGGATGGGAAGAGCTGAGAGTGACGCTCAGGAGATTTTGACTGGTTCAGAAATGTAATGCATTTGTAGCTTTAAAAAACTTAATGGAATGCTAAGCTGTCTCATTTCCTCATTCCACCCACCACTTGTTTCTAGGCAACCTTGAATTTCCAGCTCTCTGAGCTCCATTTTGCACATGCATCTTTCTCTCCTCTGTTATTACGTGTTTGTTGATCTGACTGATCCGTTTGGACGGGTGTCATCACTGAGCCCTTTCCTGTAGAGTTCTCACGTATGCGACACAGTAAGACTAGCCTTTGTTGACTCGTATTAGAGTTGCCATCCTATACATGTTAATATATCTGATACAAAGTACATGCACCCTGACACAATGTGAAATACGTAGTTACTCTGTGCCCCTGACTCGGGGCTTCTAGCGCTCTGTAACTTCCCGAGTGATAGGAAGGACAGGAGCATCTTTCGTTTTATATACATTTTGTTATAATAGGTGATCTCAGTCCCCAGTTCCTAACACAGAGCTTCTAAGAATGTCCTTTTATATGTTAGTGACTGGTGGCTGGAAGCTCCTAGGTAACCAGAGAAACCAACCACACGCTTAGAGAATTGTAACTTTCAGGAGGGACTGAAGATTGAGCTCAATCACAAATGGCCAATGATCTCAAATTGACCTCCATAAAAACGCTAAATGATGGGGTTCAAGGAGCTTCCAGGTTGGTGACCATATCCAGTTGCTGGGAGGGTGGCATGCTCCACCTCCACAGGGACAGAAGCTCCTGCTCTAGAGACCCTTCTGGACCTCACCCCAGGTACTTCTTCATCTGGCTGATCATTTGTATCCTTTATAATAAAGTAGTAACAGTAAGTAAAGTGTTTCTCTGAGTTCTGAGAGTCTAGAGTAAATCATGAAACCTGAGGGCTATATGACACCAGCCAATTTGGACAGCAGTGTGGGTAGCCTGGGGACCTGCCAGCACCTTCAGTGGAAAGCGGTCTCGTGGGAAGAAGCCTTTAACCTTTGGGATCTGACACAAACTCTTGGTAGCTGGTGTCAGAGTTGAATGGAGTCATGGGACATCCAGTTGGTGTCTGCAAATAACTGGAGAACTGCTTGGTGTGGGAACCCCCAGTCCCTGCTACATTTGGTGACAGAAGTGTTATGAGTAGAGAAACAGTCTTCCTAGATGTACTTTCAGAGAAATGAAAACCTGATTGGAAGGGAAGATTCGTAGGCAAAGAATGAATGAATATTGTCTTGGATAGTTCAGGTCACTTATATGCGTACAAATTGATAACCTGTGATTTTCTTGGCATAATGTAGGGAATCAGACACACCACAATGCATCTCCTACCTTCAGAAAGCTCATGGATTTTCTTTATTTCATTTGTTTATTTATTTTTGAGACAGAGTCCGGCTCTGTCACCAGGCTGCAGTGCAGTGGTGTGATCTCGGCTCACTGTAACCTCTGCCTCCTGGGTTCAAACGATTCTCTTGCCTCAGTCTTCACAGTAGCTGGGACTAAAGGTGCGTGCCACCATGCCCAGCTAATTTTTGTATGTTTAGTATAGACGGGGTTTCACCGTGTTGGCCAGAATGGTCTCAATCTCTTGACTTCATAGTCTGCCTGCCTCGGCCTCCCAAAATGCTGGGATTATAGGTGTGAGCCACCGCACCCAGCCCACAGATGCATTTTCTACTTTCAGAAAGTTGACAGTTCCATGCTGGAGAGAGGTGTGAATTGAATTTTTTGCTTAAACTATTGTCCTGTGATCACATCAGAGAGACATCCAAATTGCCCAGGGAAGGCATCCAGAGAAGGCTTCATGAACTGGTGCCTGAACATTCATTTGACACATCTTGAGACTGCCCATTATGTGTTGGATCCTGTGGTAGGCACGGGAGCAGAGTGGTGAGCAAGATGCAGTCTCTGTCCTTGAGGACAGAGGGGGAAGTCAAGTCAATGGGCCCTTTAGACAAACACACACGACCCCAACTCAGAACAAAGCAGCTTGTTTGCCGTCATTTCTCTCTGTTCCCCAGAGAAACAGTTGCACTGTTCTAACATTTTTATACAAAGTTTTAGAATATCCTCCTGCAGATGTAATTTGTTGCCTGTATAAAAATCAGAGAAAGCCACTTATGGGAACAGATCAGTACAAGCAACGGGAGACTGGTATGGACAAGTAAGAGTTTTTCAGTAGAAAACTGATAGTTTTGATACATGAATTTTTCCATAGAAAACGGGTTAGTTTTGATCCTGAAAGGCACAGAGGGTGGCCTTGAGAAAGGGGGTAGACAGATAAACAGGGAGCCCACGGAGCAGTCTACAGGCTGAGCTGAAGAGTTAGGTAAACGGAGTCTGATTTACTGCGAAATTGATCTTCCTTGCATGGCCGTTGCTCTGACTCTAGCACGTGTACTGATATGAGACGGATGTGTGAGCTTCTGGAACGAAATACAAAGCACTTCCCTGGGAAAAAAACAGACAAACGAAACTCTTGTTGTAGATGGTAGGCCAGAGGCAGGGTGCCCAGTCCAAGTTCACGTTACCTGAAAAACAAACCGAGGACAGGAGTTCAAGTCCCTGGACCTTACCCTGAGCTGCCTGCTCCCCTCCCCAGCCTCCCTGCACTTCCTGGGGCTAAAGTGACCTAGGATGGATCTTACAAGGGAAGCTGTTTCCTATCACTCACAGATGTTGCAACTTTTTAATCTAGCCATCATTTATCTAGCATTTCCATGTGCTGGGCCTTGTGCTGAGTGGGAATCTCTCTCTCTCTCTCTCTCTCTCTCTCTCTCTCTCTCTCTCTCTCAGCCAGGCACTGCCTACAAGAGAGACTGAGGAATCCACATAAATTACTGTTTTTTTCCTTCAGAGAGCCCATACAGGAGACAGGGAGAAATTATGATAAAGTGGGGTATATATGGGCCACAATAAAGTAACACACGAGGGCCATGAGATCCTTTTAATCTTGCTCGTAAGTAGTTGCCAGAGCAGACTGAAGAAATATTCTGAGATATGTTTATTTGCTGCTGATGAAATGGATGTTGTTTACTACATTTAAAACTGACGGGCTCTAAACTAGTTAGATGTGTAGCTGCCTAAAATAACTATTTTGGGAGCCTCACAGGGACACAGCTCTGACAATTCCTTACTGCCACACAGTTGGGAAAGCCTCCCAGTCACGTTCTCTCCCGTTTTACAGGTAAGACAGAAAGCAAAGATGCTTTCTACTTCGCCGGGATGTTTCGCATCACCAACATTGAATTTCTGCCGGAATACCGACAAAAGCAGTCCAGGGAATTTCTTTCCGTGGCACGCACTGTGCAGCAAGTGGTGAGGTGATGGGGGCAGAAGGGGTTAGAGTGCGTTTGGGGGGCAGCGGGGGATGGAGCTGCAGGGGACCACAGGTGTCACAGGTGAGCAGGGTTTAGGGAAGTAAAGGGTGGGGTAGACAAAGGAAGCTGTCAGAGGAAAACATGAAATTTTGCGCATCTTGGCTATAAGATAGAATTTCTCCCTCCGCCCCCATGCTCCAATGTGGAAAAAAAAAAGCTCTCTCAACTTTTTTTTTTATTTTATGGATAAAATCTTAATCTTATTCACTGACCAGAATGTCATGTGGCATATGACTATATACCAATGATTTCTCAAATTATCCCCCAGAGGTGGGTGTTTTGATTACCGCTTGGTAGGTGAGAGGAAAAGAAAACAGCAACCGCGAAGGCCAAACAGGGTTAGCCTTGTTCTGTGTCGCACAGTGAATTTAAACTCCTCAGCTCATAGTTTCCACTACACTTTGTAATTTCTAAGGGTTAAAAACATTGTTTTTGTAATCATGGGCAATTATGTAGGTGGTTTTCAAATTATGTAGGAAGGGGATACCAGAGAAGATGACTTGGGAGAAGAGAGTGCGTGTGCTTTTTAGAAATGCTGGATGAGGGCCAAGAAGGTAAATCGATTGAAATAGAACTCTCCTTTGAGACCAAATGACGCAGTTTGGGAAGGGCTAGGTCCCTTCCCTAGAGTTTGTTCTGAAGGGGCTGGTAGACTTGGCTGTGGGTACCACTCGCCCCCTAGTGGCTAACATGGGAATGTGTCTTTAAGAATAGTCAACGCTGGTGCCCTGATAGAAAAGACGTTGGGTCCGACACTGTACTGTGAAAATGTGCTTAAATGAGTCTGATTTCCTAACTGTGGAGAAAATTAACCTCTGGGATGGGAAGAATGCAGAAGCTAAGCTTGCATTTAAAGAGAGCAATAAATGAGTGAAGGTCACTGATTCTTCACAGATAGCAGAATAAAAGTCAGTCACCCGAGATGTTTGCAGGAAGTAAGAATTTATTTGAATTCAAGAAATAATGTCTGGTGTGGGATTAGGGGCCTTTATTTTGAGGATGACACTTCTCCTTGTTGACCGTCAGAGCCTGGGCCTACAACATGTAAGATACGGTAAACGGAAGCCGAGTATGAAATACTTCAGGTGCCTGGACTCTTCTTTTTCAGATAAACCTGGTTTACACAACATCTGCTTTCTCCAGATTTTATGAGCAGTGTGTTGTTGCAGATGTCAGGTAATGCATGTCCCTCGTCTTGGGATTTCCATGTTCATTGCTTTAAATTCCATTCAAAGCTATGAAAAGGCTGAGATTCCACCATTCCCAAGTAGCTTCTTGGGGCTGTATGAGCACAGCTAGTGACCCAACTCACTGCCCGGCTTTCATGCTGTGTTTTTGCTCTTTATCCACCAGATCCCTACTTTCTCCCCACAGCTAGAATCCCAGACCCCTATAGCCGCGCTGCTTTGCAGAATGGCCATAAACTTGTCTATCATACCGGGTGGAGGGTGGAGGCAAAATAAAGCACAGACCATGATTTCTTAATGTTCAGTGAAAAACTGGTCACTAGCGATCTTCTGAGAAAAAGGGGGTTTGTGGTCAAATAATTTTTAGAAAAGATTGTATATTATATTATATCCAACCCCACCCACTCCCAATATCTGCAGAGTCACATCCACTTTGACATATAAAAACTCAGAAGTCTTGAAGAAAAGCAACTCGATTCGTTTCCTTAACCTTCCATTTCCTGCAGAATACCATCTTCTGTTCCTTTCATAAAACATGGCAGTATTTATGCCATGAGGAGCTCAGGCTCTGGGAGCAGACTGGAAATCAAAGTGGGCTTAATTACTGGATCTGCTGCTAGATGTGTCTTGGAGTTGTATTTGGCCTCAGTTTCCTCCTATAAACTGGAATAATAATAGGACCTTCTCATTAGATTGACTGGAATAAAGCAGATTTAGCACAGTGCCCTGACATGGCAGAGCATCAAACATTCTAGTGGTTTTATATTTGAATGGCAGTGAATCCTGATTGATATCCAGAGAAATAGTATATTCTCCATGGAGATGCAACTGTACAGTAATGGTTTTAGATTTGGATCCAATACAAAGGTCTGAATACATATTACATGATGCTGTCCTTTGTCCATCTCGCTAACAGAAGTCAATGACTGCCTAAAGAAGGGCACAAGCTTCGCTGAAGGATGTGCTAACCGGCCTTACCTTGAATCTATCAGCTGGGTGCTGGTTCTCTATAAAGTCCTGTGAGGTCCCTGACGATCTCTCTTTTTTCGTTATAGCAGCAACAACAAGGGTGGCCTCCTCGTCCACTTTTGGATTGTGTTTGTCATGCCACGTGCCAAAGGCCACATCTTCTGTGAAGACTGTGTGGCCGCCGTCTTGAAGGATTCCATCCAGACAAGCATCATAAATCGGACCTCTGTGGGGAGCTTGCTGGGCCTGGCTGTGGACATGGACTCTGTGGTGCTAAACGGTGATTGTTGGGTAATTCCTTCCTGCAGCACTCCTGTGATTAGGATGCTGCATTATCCTAGATGAGGCATTATCTCCCACAGTCCGGGTAGTGCAGGGTTAACTAAAGACACTGGAGCTACGGTAGTAACAGAAATCGCTAAATGCTCTATACAGCGATTGAACAGTAGTTTTGGAAACAATATAGGCACGAAATTGAATTTGTTACTGTGTGCCTCTACCTACCTTTACTCAGGTCATGCATCGTCACACCACGTCCCCAGAGAGCAAAGTCCTAGGCAGGGAAGAATTTTGCTGAGGTTTGCCTTGTGACTTGACTTACCCAGACGGAACTGTACCTGCACTCTGCCACGCTGCCCAGCACTGCACACAGCTTGCTTCACAGGCCCAAGTGCAAATGTCATTGTCTGCCTCCATAGTAAAATGGTTTAATTGCTGGTTTCTCTTGACGTAAATTTTTGATAAAAATACACATATGAATACATGTTATAAACATGTTATAAATATATGTGTATGTATACATATATACATATAAGTACACATATGATATAGATACATATATGTTATCTATACAAGTATATACATTATATATACACACACACATACACTAGGCATATGGTAGGTGGCTGATAAATATTTGTTAAATAAATGAGAAATCTTTAGAAATACTGTATCCCATGTAGTATTTCATATATAGGACTAATATCATATTTGTTTGGTGCTTTTTTACCTTTGAAACTATTTGAAGCTTGCAACTACAATCTCACGGACACAAAGGTGAAGAGAACAGTGTAGTGAAGTCTGTACCCTTTGTTCAGCTTCCACAACTCTCAACCCACAACTGTTGTATTTCATCTCCAAATACCTAAACAACTACCCATTCTTGCTGGATTATTGTAAAGTAAATCCAGGGCCGGGCGCGGTGGCTCAAGCCTGTAATCCCAGCACTTTGGGAGGCTGAGGCGGGTGGATCACGAGGTCAAGAGATCGAGACCATCCTGGTCAACATAGTGAAACCCCGTCTCTACTAAAAATACAAAAAATTAGCTGGGCATGGTGGCGCGTGCCTGTAATCCCAGCTACTCAGGAGGCTGAGGCAGGAGAATTGCCTGAACCCAGGAGGCGGAGGTTGCAGTGAGCCGAGATCGCGCCATTGCACTCCAGCCTGGGTAACAAGAGCAAAACTCCGTCTCAAAAAAACAAAACAAACAAAAATAAATAAAAATAAATAAATAAAATAAAGTGAATCCCAGATGTATTTGATTTCTTTTAAAGAAGGACTGAAAATAATTTTTGCTAAGCAAAATTCTACCAAAATGAACTAACGAGATTCACGTCTCTTCCCTGTGTACTTTTTCAATGCAGCTGGGCTCCGGTCGGATTACTCGTCAACCATCGGATCTGGTAAATTCTTTCATGTGGTTCCCCTCCCCCCAGGTTAACACTGTTTTTGGCTGTAATTTTCATTTTCTCATGATGGTATTTGTTATTGCTTTTTAAATTGCAAGTGACAGAAACGCATTTAAACTGGCTTCGGCACAAAAGAAGCTTGACTGGTTCATGTGAGTGGGACATACATGGAGTGCGGTGGCCTTGGTCATGGTTGAGTCTAGGATTTAAAATAAAAATCTCATCAGAGCTCTGCATCTCTGCCTACTTCTGTGGGGGCTTCCTTATCAAGTGTGCTCTCCACTGTGGTTGCAACAAGGACCACCAAGCAGATCGAAACTTAACGATCTCTCCCTTTCTCAACCCTGGTGAAAACACCACCGGGCATGTCCCGACTGGGCTTGCAGAAGTCCTGGGACTCTCATTGTCTGGGTTGGCTGACACACCTATTCTTGAAATGACTTCTTTGATTCTGATTGGCCAGCCTGGGTTATGGGCCCACCTCTGAAACTAGGGGTGACTTTAACCCCAACCAAAATATATGGACAGGGTAAGGGTAGTTTCTAAAGACAAAATCCAGGGCTGTTGCCGGAAGGCAGGGAAATGGACCTAGGCTGGCAAAGGCAGCATCTGTCCTTCACATGACCTTTTGCTCTTTCCTTTCTCTGTAAAGATTTCTAGAAAAGTCTTTCGTTTAAAAAAAAAAAAGAAAAGAAAGAAAAACGGTGCTGTCTCCACAGACGAAGGCTGCTCTCAGGACTTCTACGCAGAGCATCTGTCTCTCCACTACCCCCTGGAGATTTCTTCAACCTCGGGGAGGCTGATGTGTCACTTCAAGCTGGTGGCCATAATGGGCTACCTGATTCGTCTGTCAATCAAGTCCATTCAAATCGAAGCCGACAACTGTGTCACTGACTCCCTGACCATTTATGACTCCCTGTTGCCCATCCGGAGCAGCGTCCTGTACAGGTGTGACGCGGGCCCTCTTCTTGGTGGCCAAAAAGAGTTTAGACAACCTCTGCTTTACGGTATCTGCGTCCCCCTGGATGTTTTGTTTTAAACGGCTTTTTGTGTGCCCTCACGAGGTCAGGCTGACCTACTTAGCATCCCTCATACTTAGTACCCTCGCCGTAGCCTATCAGGTTCAGTGTCTGTTTTCCACTTGTAGCAGATGTCAGTACAGTGAGAACTTCAGCCAATACACCTGAAATATAACAGATACGTTAATTTTACATTTATTGAAATAACAGTGAGAATAAATATCCTATGATGATTGCATTGCATTGGTAAACAATTAAATTTTTTTCTAGTTACGAAGATAACTCGTTTATTGTAGAAAATTAGGGCAGCGGAAACAGTATCATTACTTCACAATGTCATTATTCAGAACAAATTTCTGTTATCTTTTAGCATAAGTCTTTTCATTCATGTATACGTAATTACACGCCCATATACATACCCTAGTATCTTTTGCTTAATAGTAGATATTTATTTATGAGTGCTTAATATTTGATAAGCACTTAATATTTGATAAGGCCTAATTCAAATGAGGCCTTATTACAGAATTATTTATTACTCGCTGTGCTAGAAAGGCACATAAACTATCCTATTATTTTCGACAGTGTCTATGGACGTATGTAAGAATGCTTTCCGTGTGTGTGTATTTATATTTTCCTGATGAATGTGAATGTTAAAGATTCAAACACAATGAGGATACGCAGTGAAAAGGTGGCCGCTGTTGCCCATGACGCCATCATTTTCAGCTCACTTTCATCCTTTCAGACGTATTTAGTTATCTCATTTAACCCTCAGCACAATGCCACGAGGAGCATAATTATTGCTACTGAGGCAGAACAGGGTCTGGAGGCAGGGAACTGAAGGCCAATTTGTGCGGACTTCCTAAAGCTGATTCCCCAAGACCGGGGGCGGGGGTCGGGAACCTAAGACCAATTAACTAATTAAGCTGAGCCCTGTCCCAAAAGGAAAAGCCCTATCACCCCACAGGCTTCCGCCTCTGCCACAGCTCAGGCGGAGGGAAAGCGCCCTGGGTTGGCCTCGGGCCAAGCACCAGCAGTCCCTTCATCTGCATACAGTGACAATTCCCCTCAGCCTTTAATTAGCCGTGGACCAAAGCCTTCATCCTGGTAAGGGGAAGCTGATAGGGACCCCACAAGGACTACTTAAAACCCAGAAGCCGGGCGCGGTGGCTCACGCCTGTGATCCCAGCACTTTGGGAGGCCGAGGAGGGTGGATCACGAGGTCAAGAGATCGAGACCATCCTGGTCAACATGGTGAAACCCCGTCTCTACTAAAAATACAAAAAAAATTAGCCGGGCATGGTGGCGCGTGCCTGTAATCCCAGCTACTCAGGAGGCCGAGGCAGGAGAATTGCCTGAACCCAGGAGGCGGAGGTTGCTGTGAGCCGAGATCGCACCATTGCACTCCAGCCTGGGTGACAAGAACGAAACTCAGTCTCAAAAAAAAAAAAAAACAAAAAAACCAGAAAAGTTTGTAACAGTCTGCGAGCCGCTCGCTCCGGCCCACTCCTACCTTGCTGAGTGCTTTAATAAATCCCCAGTTTCCTTTCTCGTTTCTGTGTTTCATTCCTTTGTTACTTTGTACGTTTTGATCAATTCCTTTTTCTTTTCTTTTTAAACATAGTCTTGCTTGGTCACCAGGCTGCAGTGCAGTGGCGCAATCTTGGCTCACTGCAACCTCTGCCTCCGGGGTTCAAGCGATCTTCCTGCCTCAGGCTCCTGAGTAGCTGGGACCACAGGGACGCACCAGGCCCAGTAGTGGTGTTTAGCATGGTTTCACCATGTTGGCCAGAATGGTCTCGATCTCTTGACCTCGTGATCCGCCCCCCCCCCCCCCCGTGGCCTCCCAATGTGCTAGGATTACAGGCCTGAGCCACCATGCCCAGTCTCAATTCTTTTTTTAAAAAGCCAAGGACCTGGGCAACTCACATGGCCTGACTTCTGGTGACACTACTATCACATAGAAGAGAAACTGGTGCTTACAAAGATTTAAGCCCCGCGTTTTGCATCCATTTAAGTGATGGAGCTGAATTGTGAATCCACTTTTCCTTAGGGCAGAATCTAGGACCTTGGCCATTAGATACATGACTTTTCCACCGTATTTCTGTTCCAGGAGCATCCAGTGACAGCCACCCCACATAATTCTCCGGTAGAGGTTCCTACACAAAAATGTGTTTACGTTTTCTGGCTCTGTAGTGCCCTGTGGCTACTAATGGATGAGGATCTGGTTGGGGGAGACGCCCAAGAATTGAACGGATGACCCAGGAAATGCGTGGAGTCGTTGTGAATGGAGACCCATCCCTTGAACAGGAAACCCATTTCTCAAATAACGTACTATCCATGTACTTCTGTTTTCTTATCTGCTTTCAGAATTTGTGAGCCCACAAGAACATTAATGTCGTTTGTTTCTACAAATAATCTCATGTTGGTGACATTTAAGTCTCCTCATATTCGGAGGCTGTCAGGAATCCGGGCATATTTTGAGGTCATTCCGAAACAAAGTAAGTCTTCTCCAATCGCAGAGATGTCACTTTTAGAAATGTTTGTTATGATAGCCTGTTCCTATCTTTCTGGAGGCTGTGCTGGGACTCTGAATAAGGGTCCAGTCAGAAGAGAGAGACCATATTAGTTATTTTGAAAGGATGAACTAAATAAGAACTATTAACATAGTATGAAGGTGTTAATAAAGTAACTCAAAAGGCAAACAGGACATGAAGAGAAATGTAAGGTATCATGGATGTAACACGTGCAGGAAGCAACTGTCATCCCTAGGGCTGGGCGAACAAAGGAAAGAGGTCAGGATTATTACAGTTTAGAGCTTAGAGGAAAGAGTATGTGGGATGAAACTCGGGCCTCTGAGGAGGGGTTGCTGTTCAGCTGTTGCTGGTGTCACTGAGTTCAGAACTATGTTTTCATTTTGTTTTATTAATTTCTTTAATGTATTATCAGTCATAATTTTATTTTATTTCCTTTATTTCTTTCTCTCTTTTTTTGCAATGAAGTATTGCTCTGTCACCAGACTGGAGTGCAGTGGTGTGATCTCTGCCCACTGCAATCTCCGTCTTCTGGGTTCAAGCGATTCTCCTGGCTCGGCCTCCTGAGTAGCTGGGATTACAGGCACGTGCCACCACGCCCAGCTAATTTTTTGTATTTTTAGTAGAGACAGGGTTTCACCATGTTGGCCAGGATGGTCCTCAATCTCTTGACCTCATGATCCACCCGCCTCGGCCTCCCAAAGTGCTGAGATTACTGGCATGAGCTACAGACCAACCTCAGAACTATGTTTTTAAAGAAAGTGATAGCATCCTGCAGATATGCAGCCAAAACATATCATTTGAAAACAAATATAGAATTTGAGAATAAGTATTTTAGCTATATATCTGTGGGGTGCTATTTCTTTCTTCTGAAGAAAAAACCCCAAAAGTTTAAGAAATGTATAAAGCTTGTTGATCAAGGAAGTGTGCATTAGTAATAAAATAAATGTATGAAGCGTATTTTTCCATGATCTCACAGCTGTGAATCATTGTGTGTCACTGGGTATCTTTTTCAGGGTGTGAAAACACAGTGTTCGTGAAAGAAATAACCGGCTTTGAAGGGAAGATTTCAAGTCCGTATTACCCGAGTTACTACCCTCCAAAATGCAAGTGCACCTGGAAATTTCAGGTAGCCTAGTTTTACCAGTGACTTAGAAAAATGCTACTGCTCTATTTTTAGAGCAGAATGAATTTCATGACATTAATTTTTTAATTACAAAAAGAATATTGCTTAATTTTATAAAATTTTGGTATTATTGAAATACATTATTTACAATGCAACACTGTTCTGTAATTTCAACCCTCTGCCCATAAATGACCTGCTCTTAGCAGACTGGGGCTTGTTTCTCAAATTAATTTTATTTGTATGAAAAGGCAAAGGCATTGTTGAAGGTTCAAACAATCATTTTATTATGATAGAGCACATTTATCAATTCTTAATTACTTCATCACCAGCATTGTAATAGGAATAATAATAAAATTATGAATTGGATTAGGCAATGCAGTTAGCACTTTGTATCCACAGGTTTGGCACCTGTGGATTAAACCACATATCAAAAAATTTTACAAACACACTATAAAATATAACAACAGCCCGGGCGCGGTGGCTCAAGCCTGTAATCCCAGCACTTTGGGAGGCCGAGGCGGGTGGATCACGAGGTCAACAGATCGAGACCATCCTGGTCAACATGGTGAAACCCTGTCTCTACTAAAAATACAAAAAATTAGCTGGGCATGGTGGCGCGTGCCTGTGATCCCAGCTACTCAGGAGGCTGAGGCAGGAGAATTTCCTGAACCCAGGAGGCGGAGGTTGCGGTGAGCTGAGATCGCCCCATTGCACTCCAGCCTGGGTAAACAAGAGCGAAACTCCGTCTCAAAAAAATAAATAAATAAAAATAAAATATAACAACAAAAAATAATGCAAGTAAAAGCCAATACAGTATAACAACTATTTATATAGAATATGATCGTATTAGGTATTGTAAGTAATCTAGAGATGATTTAAAGTATAGGAGAGGATGTACATAGATGACATGCAAACACTAAATAATTTTATATAAAATACTTCAGTAACTGAGAATTCAGTAGCCTGGAACCAACCCTTCACAGATGCCAAGGGACAGCTGTATATGTTTCAGTTGTATAAGCAAACCAGAGTGCAAATGTATATGAAATATCTATCTCTCATTATCTATCTCTCCTTCTGGTGTTTGACAGGGCATTTATGCTTTTCAAAAAAAATCTTAGTAAACTATTTTTTCTTTTTCCACCTATAGTATCACATGGAGACAGGGCAAAGTGTCACCTTTGTTCATTCAGCCTATACATATAAAATCATTATTGTGTGGCATAGCAATTTAGATGAATTAGATGCAAGTGGCAAGCAGCATGTGGTTTTTTTATTCAATATATTATTGAATGACTACTTTGGGCCAGGCACTCAGGCACGATTCTGGACACTGGGGAATCCATAAAATCAGACACACACACACACACAGAAGCAGCCCTGCTCTCACGGAGCTTACCTTCCAGTATGGGAAGGCAAGTCGTACACAAACGAGATAAATACGCGTAATTTGTGTCATAAAGATAAAATGCTATGGAAAAGAGTAAAGTGGGGAAGGGGGTTCTATAGCTTGAACTGGGGGTGGGAGGTGTGGGGTAACAAGTTAGGTGTTTGTTGTCTTAAACGGGATGCCCAGGGAAAGTCTTGCTGACAGGGGAACATTTGAAAATAAACCTGAAAGATGAGGGAACTAACCTTGTGAATGGGATAAGAATGTCGCAGGCGAAGGGAACAACTGAGGCAGGGACTCTGAGGCAGGAGCGTGCTTGATGCATATATGTTTATTTGTGCATAGTGATAAATCATTGAAATAATTTCATTACTCTACCCAAAACTGTAAGGTGGTGTCAATATCTTGATGGCATGTATTGTTTGTTTTTTTTTTGAGACGGAGTTTCGCTCTTGTTACCCAGGCTGGAGTGCAATGGCGCGATCTCGGCTCACTGCAACCTCCGCCTCCTGGGTTCAGGCAATTCTCCTGCCTCAGCCTCCCGAGTAGCTGGGATTACAGGCACGTGCCACCATGCCCAGCTAATTTTTTGTATTTTTAGTAGAGACGGGGTTTCACCATGTTGACCAGGATGGTCTCGATCTCTTGACCTCGTGATCCACCCGCCTCGGCCTCCCAAAGTGCTGGGATTATAGGCGTGAGCCACCACACCTGGCTGGCATGTATCCTTAAATTTAAAAAATAACTATTAAAAACATTTCCAAAGTGATTAGGAGATAAAGGTGCTGGACCCTTTCACTGCCAGATCCTCAAGGCTTCAGGGTAGCAGAAATGCAGGGCCTCAATGACCAGAGAGTCTGAGCAGGAGAGGGCAAGTTTGTCCTCCTTGGTGGTATTACATATATGCAGACTACTCCTTTTTTAAAAGTGGCCATGAAGCATTCATAAATTTGATCACAAAATTAAAAAAATTTAAAGCACTATAAATGACACTGTTATTCAGTTAAGAGAGAATTTTAGAAAGCTTGAAAATGGATGAACCCAAATTTAACTCTCTTAAATGTAAAAATTCCTTGAATAATTCCTGGGTGAAAGTGAAAATCAAACTAAAACTTGATGTCATATCAGACATAATACACACGTATACCACAAAACGCAACAAATAAGTCAGTTGCATAGTGTGTGTGTGTGCGCGCGCGCATGTGCTTGCTCATACACATAGGCAGCTTTCTCTTTTGATGTCTTCCAAGAAGATCGAGGGGTGACTCACTAACAGCCTTCAGAAATACTGAATTTAATATGAAGAGGATGCTGATTCATTTCTCCTTTATCTAAAGAACCTGAATCATGCTTTAAATCAACGGTGTCATTGTGATTATTAAAAGAGGAAGATGTTTACACTCATTACCAAAGGGGTGTTTTTAAAGTTAAGTTCGCACTAACAGAGAGAAACTGAAACCCAGAGATACTGATATGTCCTAAGTCAGCCTGCTCCACCTGGGACCGGCAGCTGCTCCCTGAACACATGGCTGTCTGCGTCCTTCTTCACCAGGTTTCTTCTTCATCCCACTTTGTTCAGGAGAACTGGTTCACTCCACCAAGGACCACAGAGCACAAGGAGTGGTGACCTTAAAACAGCGAGCCACAGGACTGAGTCAATACATCCTTGGCTTGAAGCGTTTTTTCTGACTTAATGTTTGTTTTTGCAGACTTCTCTATCAACACTTGGCATAGCACTGAAATTCCATAACTATTCAATCACCAAGAAGAATATGAAAGGCTGTGAGCATGGATGGTGGGAAATTAATGAGCACATGTAAGTGATTTTCATATGTTAGGCATCTGATGAAAGGTTCATAGCTGCGTGTTCCTTGTCCTCAAAGGGTTTGCACTTTACCATTTACAGATAGGGAAACTGAGGGATATAGGAGTTATGTAACTTGCTCAAGGCCATGCAGCTCATAAGTAACTGGGGCAGGATTCACACCCATGTCTTAGCGCTCCTGCCCCACCACTGCTCTCTGCTGCTGGGCTACAGATGTGTGTGTTCTACACTTCACAAGAGTATTAGGCAAATGAATTTTTCAAGTCCTTGGATCCATGGGGGAATATAATACATTGGGAGTTTTCTGGTTTTAAAAAAAAACAGTTAGAGAGCATGAACCAATTGTGTGTGGTAGGAGAGTCTCTGTTGGCCTGGCTGGATCCTGAGGCTGGAAAATGGGTTGAAGCTAATCAGAAATCGAGGGACTTGGGGTCAGAATCAATCTACTCGGCTCTGGAACCGACCCACTAGGTGCTTCCTCCCACTGTTAACTTGTCTCTTACTTGTTGTTGTTGATTTGCTTCTAAATCTATGACAGATTAAATAGGCACTCAATTGAATAGTTCTCTTTTTTTTGAGATACAGTTTTGTTTTGTTTTTCTTTTTTTTGACAAGAGTTTTGCTCTGTCACCAAGGCTGAGTACTGTTGTGTGACCTTGGCTCACCGCGACCTCCACCTCCTGGGTTCAAGTGATTCTCCTGCCTCAGGCTTATTGGTACCCAAATCTTGGTGCTACTTACTGGTTATTTGAACTTTAGGAAGTTATTTCACATCTTTATGTGTTAGTTTCCTCACTTACCATGTGTCTGTCTATAGAAACTGATTCTTGCTGGCTATCTCCAGTCTCTCACTTTTGAAACTTGCATTTCATAAGCCACCATCATGTCTCATCGCATCCTCTCCCCTTTAAACTCCTGCCCAAGCGTGTGATCTCTTTCCTCTTGATTCCCCTTAACATGCCGAGCAAGGCTCATCTCTGTGAAGAAACGCTACTAAGTGTCAATGGTGAACATAAAGAAAATCACTATGAGATTCAGATAACATATAGTCAGCATGTTTTTAAGAGCACAGGATTCTGATCTCAAGATGGCCAACTCTGGCTTGGCTTGGCTTTCAGGTGCCTCTCGCTCCCAGTTAACCAGAAGGACATCTGCACTTGCCATATCTTCCTCATATCTCAGAAGTTGCTCTAACAGCTCATCAGTTCCTGTACTTCAGCCAATTTCAGAAGACCTTTCCTGAATAACACATGAATGCTTTCCTCCTTTCGTCCTTAAAATCATAGATTATCTGTGCTCCTGAATGCCATGTCTGCTCCATGGAACATGCCTGTTTCCCAAGTGCTTTGGGGCACTGGAGTGATTGGCATCACAGGTTCCAGTGGAGGTCGTTACCCCCAAGCCTGTGTCTGCTGTCTCCCATCAAGCTTGCGGGTTTCACCGTGGGAAGAGCCTCACCCATACAGGGCGGTGAACTAACTTCCAGGCCTGCAGTATAATAATGCTGCACGCTGCACTAACCACAGTGCTAATGCCGTAAGAATTACTAACAGCAGGGATATTTTTCTCAAAAGGATACTGGGGGAGGGGGCGGGCATTAGGTGATGAGAGATAAGAAAAAAAATCAAGGGAGGGAAATATTGGAGACAGATACATTAATTCTTTGAACTTTTGCCAAGGACAAGCCCTTATGTACAAATGGGATTTCAATTTAGATTGAAATAATGTTATCTTTTGCTTTCAGTCTTGCTGGAATTCTTTGCGTATTTTCAATCTGAACAAGTGGACTTCAGTTTCCTTGGCAGAGAGGCTTGTGGACAAAAGCAGGCAATTCTTGTGTTACACAGGTTTTCACACTGTAAAAGGAGAGAGGACTGGAAGAATTAAATCCATATTTCTTTGGCCCATAAGTGTTGGTGAGGAAAGCAACAGGTCAATGGTGCTATTATTGTTCTATTGGGCAGAGGAGAAAATAGAGAGGGCAGAAGTTACTAGACTGACTGACTACCATTGTCTCTACCGTACGCGTCTCTGTTTGTGGAAACCAAACAATCAAAGTGTTAAATTCATCCTGAATAGAACCGCAGCAACGGAACCTCCAGCTGTGTGTGCTCCCTGACTCTTATCTCCTCAGGTACTGTGGCTCCTACATGGATCATCAGACAATCTTTCGAGTGCCCAGCCCTCTGGTCCACATTCAGCTCCAGTGCAGCTCGAGGCTTTCGGACAAGCCGCTTTTGGTAGAATACGGCAGTTACAACATCAGTCAACGTAAGCCTGGGATCACTTCCTTAGAAAACCTTAATAATACTTACATGGAGGACAACATTTTATAATTCTAAACTGTGAGAATTTAAGAAGTGAACACTGCTTTATTTCTCCTATTTCCTTTTACATACTTATTTTTATAATAAATAAACAAAAAATGAGTATAAATAATATATAAATAATACATAATATATAAAATATATGATATATAATATAAATACTATACAAAATTACATCTTTATTACTACTCTACTTTATTAAAGAAATAACTTTTAAATGTTACTGATTTATAGTTGAAAAATAGTTTCTCACATTATTCCTTAAAGACAGACATTTATTGGTTGGTTGTTCTTGCTAGCTGTCATTCTCTGTAAATATGATGCTCACAGCAGCATACAGCGGGTCCAAAGCCAACACTAGTAAATGTGACGCTCACAGCAGCATACAGTGGGTCCAAAGCCAAACGAGTCACTCGCTTTGGCCTGTGCTTGCACAGGGAGAGTTGTTTGCTGGAGGGAGTTCAAATATCAGTCCTCAGAATGTTGAGCTTGAAATTCATACTGAAAACTACTGGAAGAGTGGCCAGGAAGGGCTCAACAGGAAGGGCAATGTGTGAGGGAGTCATTAGAACTGCAGAGAGTGGATAATGACATGCTCAGGAAATCTGTGGCCCATTTTAAGAGGGGAAAAGTAAAGGTTGCTCACTGAGGAGTCCACCAGGATATGACTTCAGAGAACATTTCTTTAGACCATACCATTCTTTGCCAATCCCTAACAGGCCTTGTCCTGGATTCAGAATGTTACATCTTGAATATCAGAGTATTGCAGTTTCCAGCAGAGTCACAGGTAGATAAGTAAACTGTTTTATTTTTAATTGTTTTTTCAAGCCATAACTATTTTCCAGCATCTCATCCACTCCATCATGTGCCATTGAAATTGCATTTGACTTGACCATACACTCTCCCCCATTCTTTTGGACAAGAGGAGGAAGGATTTATTTATTCTCTAATGTTTATCTACAAGCTCAGCATGAACGTTTCAATATCAGGAATGAATCTTGAATCAGGGAATGGATCATTGATCAGAAGCCTGGTTGAAGAGGAAAGACTAATGGACAGGGAGGTAGGGGCAGGGGTCTGGGTTTGCAGACAGTCAGTAGTCTCTCTAGGACCAATGTGTTAAGAGCAGTGTTTACCGATATGTCTTGGAGCACAGCTCACTTGAAAATGTAATTTAAGGGCCGGGCACGGTGGCTCAAGCCTGTAATCCCAGCACTTTGGGAGGCCGAGGCGGGTGGATCACGAGGTCAAGAGATCAAGACCATCCTGGTCAACATGGTGAAACCCCGTCTCTACTAAAAATACAAAAAATTAGCTGGGCATGGTGGCACGTGCCTGTAATCCCAGCTACTCGGGAGGCTGAGGCAGGAGAATTGCCTGAACCCAGGAGGCAGAGGTTGCGGTGAGCCAAGATCACGCCATTGCACTCCAGCCTGGGTAACAAGAGCGAAACTCCGTCTCAAAAAAAAAAAAAGAAAGAAAGAAAATGTAATTTAAGACATACAGAATAATTCATCTGATCACAGAAGATTCAGGGACACGAGAAGTCAATTTAAAATTCTCTGGGGCAGTGTAAAGACTCCACATTCAAGATGCTGGGCTCCCTTAGGTATGTTCCAGCGTTCGCATTCTTCAGGTAAATGACAAACTCATTGAGCTGAGACTAGACTGTGGAGGTGGGAGAAGTCTGCGTGTGGAGATGACCCGAATGCAGTGTTCACCCCAAGCTCCAGCTGGATACTGCTCTCTTCTTTGCTCCTCTGTATTCTGAGTTTTTGTCTTTCACTGACTGGCAGCCTTCATTTGATGGAGACACTATATAATCATTACTGGTACCCCGGCAACTCCCTAACCATTTCACACTTCATATTCTTTGCTAATGTGGTCTAGTGATGTTCAGGGATCTATCCAAGACTTTCCATTTTCTGTTGCCCGCAGCCTGCCCTGTTGGATCTTTCAGATGCTCCTCCGGCTTATGTGTCCCGCAGGCCCAGCGTTGCGATGGAGAAAACGACTGCTTTGACGAAAGTGATGAACTGTTTTGCGGTGGGTATTCCAGCTTTTAATATGACTTTCCTATGAATAAGGAACTCTCAGGACCCCGATTGCTGCTGTTGTTTCCTTAGTCTTTGCCGTTATGATCCATTGCCGCATAACCAACTACTCCCAAACCCGGTGGCTCGGACAATCATTTATTCTGGATCATGCATCTGTGGATTTTCTGGGATCTGACTAATTTAGGCGGGGCTCATATGGGTGGCTCTGCCTCAAGCATTGGGTCCTCCTGAACTTGATTCTTCCAAGGTTGGAATCAGCTCTACTTTATTTATTTATTTATTTTTTTGAGACAGAGTTTTTCTCTCTTGTTACCCAGGCTGGAGTGCAATGGCGCGATCTCGGCTCACCACAACCTCCGCCTCCTGGGTTCAGGCAACTCTCCTGCCTCAGCCTCCCAAGTAGCCGAGATTACAGGCACGTGCCACCGTGCCCAGCTAATTTTTTGTATTTTTAGTAGAGACGGGGTTTCACCCTGTTGACCAGGATGGTCTCGATCTGTTGACCTCGTGATCCACCCGCCTCGGCCTCCCAAAGTGCTGGGATTACAGGCGTGAGCCACCGCACGCCGCCCAAAACAGCTCTACTTTTTATGGCTCTTTGCCTCATAGAGCCAGTGGGCTAGTCATGGTGGTGGCAAAAGGAAAAGAGGGGAGAGTGGAAGCAACATGGTTTCTCCTAAGGCCTGGGCTTGAAACTGGTATGCCATCATCGGGGTTACATTCTATTTTCAAAGCAAGTCACATAGCTGAGAACCAAGTCAGGGGTAGGGAAATTTACTCTGTACACCTTGGGGCTATGGTAACATTGGGGTGCATAATACTATCACAGAGAGTAAAGATCCGTGGCTTGTAATTAATTCACCACAAGCTTAAACACCGAAATCCTATTTGAAGGCAGATTCTCCACCTAGAGAGCAGCTCAGGATTTGCAGAGCAGTACTCCTTCAGCATGCTCCTTTATGCAGCCCAGCTCTCAACTGTGGTTTATAAATAAAGGAGAACGGGTTTTGTGTGTGTGTGTTTTCTTTTCTTTGAGACAGGGTCTCGCTCAGGCTAGAGTGCAGTGGCGTGATCACAGCTCATTGCAGCCTTGGCTTCCCGGACTCAAGAGAGCCTCCTGCCTCAGCCTCCTGAGTAGCTGGGACTACAGGTGTGCACCACCATGTCTCACTAATTTCTAGAAGATTTTTATTAGAGACAATGTCTCACTTTGTTGCCCAGCCTGGTGTCAAACTCCAGGCCTCAAGCAATCCGACTGCCTTGGCTTCCCAAAGTGTTGAGATTACAGGCATGAGCCACTGAAGCCAGCCCCATAAAATATAAAGTGTTTTTGTTGTTTTTCTAACCTGCACAATTTGTACTGACATCACATTGGTGATGACTAAAGTGTGGGATAACTGGGTGTGCTTATTTTTGGTGGAGAATCTGTCTTAATTTTTCATGACTATCTGCCACTCATTCCTGAATCTAAGTCTAGTTTCAGGGAGCAATATGGGAAGGACAATTCACTAAATTATGTGACACCACTGGCAGCATTTTCTCGTGAAAGTCCAGAGTGTTTAAGTCAAATACAGTTGCAAGGGTGATGCTATTTAATCTTTTTCATATTCTTGGAAAAATACAGTTACTATGCTCTATATAACTGTGAAAAATTATATTAATGAAAAATAAACTGTGACTATATGTCAGGGTCACCATCTGTGGGGGTCTGTCCTGCAGACCGTGACTCAGCGACGGATGAATAACTCAACACAGAATGCAGTGGAAGAGTGAGCTGGGGTGTCCGGGCCACTCACTCAAAGGAGTTAATGGCAGCCGGCCTCCAGCAGTCCCGACTCCGGGCTTTTATTTAGTGTATCAGAGGATAAGGGTCTTCTGATCAATACCATTAGAGGATAATTAATTTGTGCCGACCCCCTGTGTAGAAGGCAGTTAACGACTAGCGATGATCAAAGGTTTTTCTAATGGAGATGGAGGTAAGGACTCATCTGGAGAAACTTCCTTTACAATTTCTAGTATATATTCTACTGTCCTAATGCCCTAGGGTAAAAGCTGGTCACCTTCGACCCATTCAGCCATTACAAGCTACGTAAACCTTCGGCCTTCCAAAAAGGTTTGTGACTACTCCCTAAAGCTATCTCTAATATTTTTCCTTTAGTATTTTTGCCACCACCCTGAGTGAACCCCCACAATGATACTTTATTTATTTTTTTAGAGACAAGGTATTGCTCTGCCATCCAGGCTGGAGAGCAGTGGTGTGATCATAGGTCACTGCAGCCTCGAACTCCTGAGCTCAAGGGATCCTCCCCACTCAGTCTCCTGAGTAGCTTGGACTACAGGCACACACCATGAACCCCACTAACTTTTTTACTTTTCATACAAATGGGGTCTCACTATGTTGCCCAAGCCAATCTAGAACTCCTGACCTCCAGCAATCCTCCCACCTTGGCTTCCCAAAGTGCTGGGATTACAGGCATGAGCCACCATGCCTAGTTTATACCTTATTTTTTTAACTGGCAAAACAAAACACAAAATTTGTCTAAGCTTATGGTTCATTGATTATTTAAATCTATAGTGTTTGATTTCTTAAGAAAATGAATACTGATTGTTATATAATGACTGGTTTTTTTTTACATTATTATTCTTTGTGCTGGTGCTGATTCTCCAAACAAAAATGATTCTTGTTAATTTAAAATAAGGACTTTTTGGTAATCATTATTCCTCATTAGAGTCCACTAGGTATGCCCAGAGACCTAATGAACAATGTTAGGGCAGCAATATCCTCCTACCTGCCCTCACAAGAGATACCTCTGAAAAAACAGGCGCAGATAGCAAAACTGCTAACTTTTCACAAAACCAGAAATGTCTAAGAAATCACACTTTCTAAATTTGCTTGTACTTGTTGCTGGTCTCAAGGCAATTAATGACAGTATTCCAAAGGGAAAAATGTGATAGAGTTACACGAATATTTCCTAATTCAGGAAATGGATCTCATCAGACAAAATAATTCCAGAGACCACAGGACAACATAAACCCAAAGTCTCTTATCCTTTAAGATCTCACATTCATTAATTCATTCAACAAACCTTTAGTAAACCACTATTCTTTGTTCAGGAGCTTGAGGTAGAGAGATGAAGAAGACAAAATCTCCAATCTCAGAGCACTTTTATTTTGCTTAGGAAGATAGACGGGTTTAATTTAGATCATAGCTTATGATTTTTATTTCCTTAAAATAAATCACCATGATGCATTTAGCGGTAACTAAATAAGCCACTAGAGTTTAACGCATTTATACAAAAGCAAAAATTAGACCTGACAAACTCAAGTGCTAGAAATTACACCAAAGTTTAGACACCTACTTTTCCTCATGGAAGTGTCAGTTTTGAGGAAAATACACTTTTGGTTTTATTTAAGTCATTGGCATGATTTGTACCTTGAGACTGGCACTGCTGATCACCAGAGAGCCCAGCTGGTATCTCAGGCGCGTGAACCTTGTTCCGTTTTCTATTGTAGTGAGCCCTCAACCTACCTGCAATACCAGCTCCTTCCGGCAGCATGGCCCTCTCATCTGTGATGGCTTCAGGGACTGTGAGAATGGCCAGGATGAGCAAAACTGCACTCAAAGTGAGGGAGAGTCCTCTGTGCCCTGCCGTTCCTCCCGGGAAACTCTCCTGATCAGGACAAAAGTCCACCTGATGGCTTAGGGGTTTTGGCAATCGACTTGTCCCAGTTTCTCTGGAACTTTTCCAGATTTAGTACTGAAAGCCCCTTGTCTTAGGAACCCCTTTAGTTCCAAGGGAACAAATTGGGACAGTTGGTCACTCTAAATGGGGTGGAATGTGTGGGTGTGCGTGTGTTCCTGTATGAATACTGGCAGATTCTTACTGCTTACTTGCTTTTAATGATGCTCAAGATTGTAGGATACAGAGGACCCGATGTAGAAGAACTTGCCAAATACTGGAATGGAACACGTTTCACTGTCACCCTTGCAGAAACAAACCTCCGGGGTTGTGAAGAAATGTGTTGTAATTAACGAATGTGTCCATTTGCTGCCTACTGATATAAAATAACTGAATACGGCAGTGATTTTTGCTCAAAAGGTTTTTTTGGAGAATAAGTCGAGGTAATAGCAAAGAGGCTCCAGCCTAAAGCCACTGACGTGGTGCCCTTCTTCACATCCCACCTGCTGTAGGAGAAAGACGAGGTGGTCAGATCCATTCCCAACAGATACGCTGCCAGCCTTCAAATGGCTTTTCTCAGGTGAAGAAACAGACCACTGTGAGGTTGTTTCTCTTCTCTCTGCCATTCATCCCAGAGCAGCAAATACCAATCCTATGATTCAACCATTGTTAGGAGGTTCGGGGTTCTGCATTCAAATCTCATTTACTCAATTTGTGTTTGGCTAAGGTAAGCTGTTTCTTCTTTTGTCCGTTTTTAGGTATTCCATGCAACAACAGAACTTTTAAGTGTGGCAATGATGTTTGCTTTAGGAAACAAAATGCAAAATGTGATGGAACAGTGGACTGCCCAGATGGAAGTGACGAGGAGGGCTGCAGTGAGTAGAAATGCATTCTTTGGATTCCTGTATTCCCTCTTCAGTCGACTTGTTTTATATTTTCATTCCTTTCTTGGAGGTTGACATAAGCCGAAAGAAGAGTAACTATTGGCAAACTGAGTCTGAAATTGTTTCTCAGAAATAAAAAGTTTAGAATGAATTGTCTTCTTGATAACAGCATTAATAAATTAAATTTTTATAATGAGAACTTTCACTTTATAATAACTTTAATCAAGGGAGAAGATCTTGAATAAAAACATCCTGTGAGAAAAGAAATCGGTGCTGGAACACAGTATCTCTTGTTGACTTGTTAATAATGTCTTAGGAACAGTATCAAGTGCTGTTTCTTGCTTTGGGTTTGACCCAATAACTCATCTCCCGCATGCTCCTGTTAGTCACGTGGCCAGTAATTGGCCATGTGGTAACATGTAAATGATACGTCTTTACCAATACTATTTACACTGGTAAACAACTGCTCTGATAACTAGTTTTCCGAGTAGGTTTTCATTTGTCAGGGACTTACAGACCTTTTCCCAAATGCTTCTTGTCACATCAGCACAACTTCAAAGAAATTCTCAATTCAGTTACATTCCTCTTCACCTGACAATCTAAGTCCACAGGCTGCTGTTGATGTCAGTCCAGCTGTTACACAGGTCTCCTTCCTCCTCCCACGTGCATTGTGGTTTAGAGACTGTGTCAGGGCATGCTTCAGAAAGGAGGGAGTGATTTGTTGGTACTGGTTTCAGACAGATTCACACATTCTCTGTCCTCTAGATAAGGAGATTTCAAATTGCTACCTAGTGAGTCAGTTTCCAGCCAGCACTTAATCTGGCTTCATTTCCATTTTTCTTCCATGTCGATCTTTAAATCACATGCCATTTCTCCACCAAAGCCTGCAGCAGGAGTTCCTCTACCCTTCACCGCATCGTCGGGGGCACAGACACCCTGGAGGGGGGTTGGCCGTGGCAGGTCAGCCTCCACTTTGTTGGATCTGCCTACTGTGGTGCCTCGGTCATCTCCAGGGAGTGGCTTCTTTCTGCAGCCCACTGTTTTCATGGAAACAGGTAGGGCATCTCAATCCTTACTCACAAGTGGCTCTCTCTGGCCACAGATGATGTATCTGCCCTCAAACTGTGGGAAGCAGATCCCTGTTGGAGACATTCAGTCAACTCAATTGAGCTTTCATTTTTTGGATCCCACTTGTGTGACAAACTCTTTTTTAGGTATTATTGGTATAAAAAAAGAACACAAAGGAAACATCAAGAATAAATAGGCTTTTACTAAGGCTGAGAAAATAAGATAGGGCTTTTAACTCAGAGGGAGCAAACAAGAGAGAATGTGTAGAGAATACAGAGAAGAATGGGCACTGCAGAGTGACAAAAAAATGCAGATCCCTATTTAAACTAGGAGGGGGATCCTGGAGAGGCCCATTAGGATTGGTTTGGAAGGGCTCTGTCTATCTTTAGCAATGGGATTTTTATGGGACAGGTGCTCTTCTAGCTAAGGGTAATAAGACATCTTAGAAAACAACCTCAGTTAAAATTTAATCTTATTTTGAATCTACTGAATCTTAGGTTGAAAAAAATAATTCACTTCTCATTCTGTATTTGTTTTTTGTATTTCAATGAAGTTACACAATTTGGGTATTTGCTTCTCCTGGAAATTATAGGATTTGTATTAATTATTAAGATAGCTTCACATCTGTTTGATCATTAGTCTCTAATGCTGTGAAACTTCTCCAAATAATGTGTCAACCCTAATATTTCTTTGGGTGTCCACTGCCACTCATGAGACACCAGCTAAGCAGATTAGTGAGCAAAATTCTGGGGCTTCCTCATCTTCTTCACCCCCACCCTTTGCCCCCACTGTTATGCTGATGGAGAGGGAAGCCTCACATGGAGATTACAAGTCCTTTTGTGACTTGTGCAAGGTCATGGGGGTCAACGTTGGGATTCTCAAAAGACACGGGAATGGGGTTTGATGACCCTATGAATGGGCATTATTGGGCAGTAAGAGTAGTGATTATTAAGGCTTCTGGTAGTTTGCCGGAAGGAATTTCATTAAATTCCTGCTTATAACACTCTGATTGCTGATCTATCTTGTTATTCATATCAATTAAATGTGGTAGTAGGGTTCTCCATCAAATGCCATTGTCAGCATGAATAGGAAGAATGCAACGAATTAATTCTAGTTACCAACATGCTCGACCTGTGTGTGGTTCATGGAATACCAGCGGCAAGAAAATGTCCAGGCATTTGCTAAGGACATTGTTGAATGAATTTCCTAGAACTCGTCACTCCTACCATAGCTTACTTCATTTCTGGCTTTATTAATGAGACAAGGGAGGCCTACAATTATGATTTCTGCCATAGTCCCTAGACAGGGCTGGTGGCTCTACTAAGGGAAGTCAGACCCTTCTTTTTCAGCCCTCAACTCTTTAGAGTGTTTGTTTGCAAATGATACATGGTTCTTTAAGCTGCTAACTTTGTGTTTCATTACTGTTCTATCAGGCTGTCGGATCCCACACCATGGACTGCACACCTTGGGATGTATGTTCAGGGGAATGCCAAGTTTGTCTCCCCGGTGAGAAGAATTGTGGTCCACGAGTACTACAACAGTCAGACTTTCGATTATGATATTGCTTTGCTACAGCTCAGTGTTGCCTGGCCTGAGACCTTGAAACAGCTCATTCAGCCAATATGCATTCCTCCTGCTGGCCAGAGAGTTCGCAGTGGGGAGAAGTGCTGGGTAACTGGCTGGGGGCGAAGGCATGAAGCAGGTGTGTGTATGAATGAATGGTTATGCCCTTCCCCTGCAGAGGATGATAAGGTGTTTATGCAGAGCTTTAGGGTGCACAGAGAGGGTTTGTGTGTATCATCTCCTTTGAGCCTCCTGACAACTCTGGAAGGTTGGATTGGAGGACGGTATTATTTTTCCTTTTTAACGATGCTTTCCACCTGCTTCAAAAGAAGCAGGGCCCATCTCATAAAGAGGGAGAGGACTGTGTATGAGCAAGGATTGACTAGATAGTTACGGGCCCTTGTCACTCTCTGAAGAGTATGCTATGTTTTCATTAGAGAACGAGCAATTCCTCCCTTTCATTCAAAGAATTGATTCATTTATAAAGGAGAGAAGGACACACATACACACTTCACTATGTCAGCTCCTAGGCAACAGCCTGGAAGATTATGTGAGTATGTCTTGCACCTATGCAATTGGCCAAGGGATAAGAGTGAGATCTGAACTCCAGCCTTCCCTTAGTTCCCAAACCAAAAATTCAGGCCTGGAGCTTATACCAGCCCAGATTCAGTCCACCAGAGGCGATACCTTTTTGCAATTCCTCTGACCTGAGAGGACACCTTTTCAATATGCACAAAGATCAGGCTGTCTAGTAGGCAAGTCCCTGCATCTACCCTGCCAAGGTTTTTCATGGTCCAGGATTTAAGGTGGGATTCTGAATCTATAGTGAGGGGAAGAATCCAATGCTTTGTGAACGTCTCCTCAAATGCTACTGCTAATATTTTCCCTGATCTTCCAATAACTTCACATTCTTTTGCCGTCCTTTTCAACGGTTTAGGACACACAGTGTCTGTAATTGTCAAACCTTACCCTGTAGCCTCATTTTGACACCCCGAAGTGTGGGCAGCTTCTCACTTTCATTTCATTGTTGAAGTAGCAACACTCAGCACCAGTCTGGGTCCACTGAAGTGTCACGTCCTAAGGCGGGGAGGCAGCTGACTGAACACTTGTGGCTTTCACAGGTTACTGTGCTCAGCGCTTTCGTTACATTATTGTATATCACAAAAGGAAAGTGTCTTCCCAACCAACTTATGAGATGTTTTCTTTATAAGTCTGAGTATGTGTGTGTGTGCTGCTTTTTCTGAATCTTCTTAGCTAGGTAGGTTCAAAAGGAAGTGAAAGGGCTGCATGCAAACTGTTAGGTTTTTATGGCTCGTCAGAGACTCTCATATATCAGTTATGCTGTTCAAGAGCTCTCTTGAACAGAAGATATTGGTAATAACTGGTGCTGACTCACTATCCTACTGAAAACAGGAGGGAAATGGTGAGGAATATGGCACAGTTGTCCAGACCCAAGTAATTGGGTCTGACCTTGGGTCTGACTCTTGTGTTACTTGCTAGCTGTGTGTCACCAGACAAGTCCTTCAGTCTCTTAACACTCCATTTCTTTATCAGCGAAATGAGGATGATAGTAGAATTTACCTCAAAGAATTGCTGCTCTGAGGGTCAAAGGAGAGAATGTGTGTTATCTTTTCAAATGAAGCCCTGAATACATGTAGCCATTACCGCTAACAACACTTCTACTTCCAATGTGCTTTGCAGATAATAAGGGCTCCCTTGTTCTGCAGCAAGCAGAGGTGGAGCTCATCGATCAAACGCTCTGTGTTTCCACCTACGGGATCATCACTTCTCGGATGCTCTGCGCAGGCGTAATGTCAGGCAAGAGAGACGCCTGCAAAGTGAGTCATTGTACCTTCCCCTGGGTTAACAGGTACTTAATCTACATAACACTGGGAAATAACCAGGGCAGGTACTTGCCTTAACTCATCTGAGCTGCTCAGATACTAATTTTAATCCGATTGCCTAAGATCATGGAGAGGTATTGAAATAATTGATTCTATAGAACTCAGTTTTCTATGATGTGCTCCATGTATTTTCCTTCAATATTTAGAGGATGAGATCAACATGCATCATTCTGCCATAATTTTCTCATAGCCAATGTATTTCCTACTTCCTTAGCAGCTGCCATTTAATTTCTGAAATGCAAAGGGTTTTTATTTCCTCACTCCTTTGAAGCATATGCTAGGGAAAAGAAGAGAGGAATGGAGAGGTAGCAAAGAGTACTCATTTGTAGGTTGCTCCGTAGGCCCTTGGCAGTGGTAAAGTTGGAGGCCACCTTTGGGGAGACATTTCTGAGATTCCAATCTGTGCAGTTACCTACATGATTTTCAAAGAGTAAACAGATGCTTTAGAGCAAGCTTGTCCAACCCATGGCCCATGGGCCACATGCAACCCAGGATGGCTTAAAATGTGGCCCAACACAAATTTGTAAACTTTCTGAAAACATTATGAGATTTTTTTTTGTAATTTTTTTTAGCTCATTAGTTATTGTTAGTGTTAGTATATTTTACGTGTGGTACATGACAATTCTTCTTCTTTCAATGTGGCTCAGGGAAGCGAAAAGATTGAACTCCCCTGATTTAGACGGTGAGTAGGACAGGGAGCAGCTCTTTCATGACCTTAGCCATGATGCCACAAGAACTCATCCGATAATAATGACTTCAGTCTTCTGAGCTCCTATGTTGTGGCAAGCACTGTGCTAGGTTCTTTACATAAATTCATTCCAATGATTATTTTTCCTTCATTTTATGGAAGAGGAAACTGGGCACAGAGAGGGTAAGTAAATTGCCCAAGGTCATACAGCTAGCAAGTGTAAATGTCTGAGCTGGGATTTGAACCCTTGCCTCTCTAATGCTCAGGGTATTCTATTTTGGGTGCTTCCCATAGCTAGTCAGTTACATAGCCCTGTTCCACACAGCCACCAGTGTTTACTTGTTAAACTTAGTAGAGTTGATGTGGTGACAATTAGAATAAAGAGCCCAGTTTCCCTACTGGTTGGAATTTTCCTCATCAGGTATCAGATCCTAATTTGGATACATGGGCAAATTTGTTGCCTCTGAGTAAATTGCAAGATTATCTACCCTCTGAAATAGGAAAATAAAACCTACATATTATAATTTAACTACTGTGGAAATTATGCTTATACCTTGAATTATTTAAGCCTTTGCTTAGAGGAATTGAGATATCAGAAAGGACAGTCAAGTGACAGTGATTTGTTTGTACATGACTGTGGGCCAGTAGTTGTTAGGGTTTTTTCACTGGACCTGGCTAAGTAAACAGGGGCTGGCTCTTCTCCATGGGGCTGTGAGACAATCATTGGATTTGCATGGCCCAGAGATAGAAGTAAACCTTCTGAGATAACCATGCCTCATAAGGTTGTTGTGAGGATTAAATTGCTTTAAACAATTCTCAGCACATAGCTAGCACTAAATGTCAGCCCTTACTACTGCCACAACCGTCACCACCACCACCACCGTCATCACCACCGTCACCACCACCACCACCACCGTCACCACCACCACCACCATCACCACCGTCACCACCACCACCACCGTCACCACCACCACCACCGTCATCACCACCACCACCGTCACCACCACCACCACCACCGTCACCACCACCACCACCGTCACCACCACCACCACCACCGTCATCACCACCACCACCACCGTCACCACCACCACCACCATCACCACCACCACCACCGTCACCACCACCACCACCGTCACCACCACCACCACCACCGTCATCACCACCACCACCACCGTCACCACCACCACCACCATCACCACCACCACCATCACCACCGTCACCACCACCACTGTCACCACCACCACCACCACTATCACCACCACCACCACCACCACCACCGTCACCACCACCACCACCGTCACCACCACCACCACCGTCACCACCACCACCACCACCGTCACCACCACCACCACCGTCACCACCACCACCACCGTCATCACCACCACCACCACCGTCACCACCGTCACCACCACCACCACCGTCACCACCGTCACCACCACCACCGTCACCACCACCACCACCGTCACCACCACCACCACCATCACCACCACCACCACCACCGTCACCACCACCACCACCACCGTCACCACCACCACCACAACCGTCATCACCAACACCACCATCACCACCATCACCACCGTCACCACCACCACCGTCACCACCACTACCACCACCACCGTCATCACCACCACCACCATCACCACCATCACCACCGTCACCACCACCACCGTCACCACCACCACCGTCATCACCATCACCACCGTCACCACCACCACCGTCACCACCACCACCACCACCGTCACCAGCACCACCACCACCACCGTCACCACCACCACCGTCACCACCACCACCACCGTCACCACCTCCACCACCGTCATCACCACCACCACCGTCATCACCACCACCACCACCGTCACCACCACCACCACCATCACCACCACCACCACCATCACCACCACCACCACCACCACACACCCACCACCGTCACCACCAGTCATCACCACCACCATCACCACCACCACCACCACCACCGTCACCACCACCACCGCCACCGTCACCACCACCACCACCACCACCGTCATCACCACCACCACCACCATCACCACCACCACCACCACCACCACCGTCACCACCACCACCACCAGCCATCACCACCACCACCAGTCATCACCATCACCACCGTCACCACCACCACCGTCACCACCACCACCACCACCGTCACCACCGCCACCACCACCGTCACCACCGTCACCACCGTCACCGTCACCACCGCACCACCGTCACCACCACCACCACCGTCACCGTCACCACCACCACCATCACCACCACCGTCACCACCACCACCACCGTCACCACTACCACCACCATCACTATCACTGTCACTACCACCACTGTCACCACCACCACCACCATCACTACCACCGTCACCACCACCACCACCACCGTCACCACCACCACCACCACCATCACTACCACTGTCACCACCACCACCACCACCACCACCGTCACCACCACCACCACCGTCACCACCACCACCACTCCTTTACTGAGGTTTATTCTTTGTTTAAGGGAATGTGAGAGTTGTTTTCTCCAATAAGAAGTTTCTAATGTTATTCTCAGCCTGAAGAATCATGTTTCTTCTAACGAACACAACTGTGATTATAGGAAGAAAAATTCTAAAATGATAGAAGTTTCACATTAGTTTTTGACACTTCCCAAATGGAATCAGCCAAGCAAAAATCTGTCATAACAGGATGCTTGCAGACAATTCATTAGATGCAATAAAGATGAGACTGATGGTCATAAGACAAACTGACTTTCTACTTACATTATTGTTTTGTGTAGGGAGATTCGGGTGGACCTCTAGCTTGTCGAAGAAACAGTGATGGAAAATGGATTTTGACTGGCATTGTTAGCTGGGGACATGGATGTGGACGACCAAATTTTCCTGGGGTTTACACACGGGTATCAAACTTTGTTCCCTGGATTCATAAATATGTCCCTTCTCTTTTGTAATTTTACCAGTTGGATTTTTACTTGATTCATGTTAAAAATAGATACTTTAAACTGATGCAATAATTATTAATAAAATGAGTCCCTTTTTTTCAACTGGAAATGTCAAATTGTATACATTTAATACTTATTGAGAGATTAATATGTATTCCATAATGTTTTTTCAAGAAAATAACTATATTCGTTCTTATGTATCAAAAGGCTATTGATTCAGAGATGGAAGAAACCTAAAGTAATGTTATAAACCAAGCCTGTAAAAACAATAAAAAATGAGAGAGATGTTCAGGGATCCTTCTTCTATGTCCCTATTCAGTGTTCAGATATTCATAAAAATTAGAGCAAATTTGACTTATTAAAATAAATTCCAATAAAAAAACCATACCTGACCTTTAGCAATTTCAAGAAACTAAATGCACAAAATATCTCCTTTGCAAATGCAAATAAAGCAAAATTCAGTTATTGACAGAAAAAGTACCTGTATTGTTGCTTTTCAATCCAGTTTTGTCTAACCGTATCACAGTGGACCGTCTTCAGCCATGGCACACGGTAATGCTGTGTACAGAGAAACGATCGACCAGCCAACCAAACTGACAGCCCCTTTACTAAATAAAGCATCTTGGTAACTGAATCAAAAGCATGTATATGAGATTCAAAGAAACTGTTGTAATGCTCATCAGCAGAAAAAAGGCAAAGAAATTTTCAATGATTGTTGTGAAGGTGAAATTTTTCGGAAATATTATCATCTGGCTTTCGGTTCTTTTCCAAAACCCCAGTGGCCGAGACTCCCTTTTACTTGCAGGCTCTCATAATACCTTACATAGTTGTAAACGTGTACACACTCTCAATGTATCTTAGTTCTTGATTTATTTTGTCTTGATTTAGAAGATTTCATAGTTGATAGCAGAATATTCTTTTACTTCACAGAAGCCAGAATTGACAGTACCACCAAATGAGTGAAAACAACAGAAAAAAGAGTGATATTATTTGTTTTCCTGTTACTAAGTCAAAGGAGTATTAACAATACGGTTATCAGGTATAGTCTATTGACAGAATAATGCACAGAACCTTAGAAAATCTTAATGTAACAGCAGAAAGAGAGAGAGCAAAAGGTGTCATCCCCCAGGCCAGATAAATTTTTCAGCTCATAGAATATATTTTGATTTGTTAAAAGACTGTTCCCTCAGATTAAGGATAAAGCATCTTAATAATACCTTTATGTATAGGCCCCAAAGGTTTCAGTGAACTGGCTATATGATAGTGTAATTCAGAGGGCCAAGTGTACCGTTAATTCAAAAGGGAGGACTTGGCTACTGAATCCACTAGACAGAAGAGCAAATTGGCTGATAGTTCATGTAATGTACATTTATTTTGTCTGGATGGCTGTGACCTATATACAAGGTGAGTTGTACTTTCTACTTTATGGTCCTTTCTAGGGTGTAGAATTGCTCTTCACAAAATACATGAAAACCTTTGCATAAGTTTGTGATCTCAGTTAGGGGACGGAGGAGGGCTGGCATCATCTATCAGGTTCATCAGAGGGAGGTTTTGAAAGCACATGTATGCATCAAAGTGAGTACACGATGTTCCTTAGCAGTGCTGAGGCAGGGACAAGGTTGAAAACCAAACCTCACTTACTGGGATGTTGCATGTTAAGATGTATTTAGGACCTGAATGACGTGGGATATCCACTTCATACCTGCAAAGGTGGAAAATAAGGCCAGTCCCGAGACTGGTTTTGTTAGCAGAGTGGAATGGCCTTCGTAAACCAAGACAGAAGCATTCCATGTGCCTTATTACTGGGGAGACTGTGTAGGGACTCATGCCCTCTTTCACAGTGCCTTGAAAATGGCACAGTGAAGCACCACAAACCAACCGTTTCTCAGTGGTTTTCTGCATGATTAGCCTGAGTGGCTGGCCCAGTTGCTGATATTTGGAGTAGCACTGCTTGTCATCTGACAACACACAGGAACAAACTGTGGCATATTCAAGAGCCACAGACCTATTTGAAGGGAATGAGATAATTCGGCATACTGGTGATATCACTCGGATGACGTTACTTTGTTTTTCGGTTTATATGATAACCATTAATTTGCTTCTTAAAAGGATTTAAAGGCCCAGTGCAGTGGCTCACGCCTATAATCCCAGCACCTTGGGAGGCAGAGGCGGGTGGATCACGAGGTCAAGAGATCGAGACCCTCCTGGTCAACCTGGTGAAACCCCGTCTCTACTAAAAATACAAAAAATTAGCTGGGCATGGTGGCGCGTGCCTGTAATCCCAGCTACTCAGGAGGCTGAGGCAGGAGAATTGCCTGAACCCAGGAGGCGGAGGTTGCGGTGAGCCGAGATCGCGCCATTGCACTCCAGCCTGGGTAACGAGCGAAAGTCCGTCTCAAAAAAAAAAAAAAAAGATTTAAGAAGAAGATCAAGTACTATTACAAAAGAGCAACATTGAAAATAATATATTGGTCAGCAAATATGTTTTGATCTTTTAATGTTATTTAAATTGGACTATTCAAACCACCTAAAGCAATTAAGTCAATAATAATTTTAAATTATAGTAAAGAAATCTATTTTTGAAATAATAGTACATTTAAAAAGCTACCCTTATGTAAATACATTCTGAAGGAATTACAAAAACAAATGTGCGCAGAGTTTGGTTTCTCATTCAGAAATGCTTGACTTTCATCAGAATTGTTTAATCTAAAGCTGGTTGGACCTCCAGGGAGAAACACCTCTTTCTAACTTAATCCTTAGTGTGAGTCAAACTGGCAGGATGAGAAAAGTCTTCAGGTAGGTGTTGGGACTCTCCTCTGCATTCCAGGTCAGCTGTCTGGAGATTAAGAAATCTGCAGTTAACAGAGACAGGAAGAGGAACAGGTTGCAAATAAGAATTTAAGTAGTTCAGGTAATATGGGAGGTGTCAGTAAGTGTCAGTGATCAGGAAAACAGGACAGGGCAGGAAGAAAAATCAATGTCAGAAGAATTGATTGAATCAAAGGTTCGTTCTGGGTGCTGAGGGTTGGGGAGGGTGGTATTAGTTACAAAGACATGGGAAATGTAAGGGAGCGTTTACTGAGACCCTTCCATTTTTCAGGCACAGGGGTAAACGCTTTACCTTAATCTTCCTGGCTCTGCTAGGCTGGAATCGCTTTATAAGATAACAGACAGACATTAAACAGCTTGCCCAAGAACACAGAGATAGTGAGAGTCTAAATTTGACCCTAGTTCTGTCGGCCTTCAGAACTGACACTCCTTCCACCGTACCAGGAGGACCAGGGTTAGGCATATGGAATGATGGAAATGCATTGAAATCTAGTAAGAGGACATATAAAGCTTCCTTAACAGTCCTCCGAGGGCATCAGAAGATGTGGTTTAGGGTGTGCTGGAGACACGAACAGCTGCTTTTTCATTCTCTGGGGAGTGAAGGGGACTTCAGGCATCTGCGCCTGGAGAAACCAGGCTTGGCAGAGAGCTACTATCCATCTGATGCGAGAAAAAACCTCACATTTAGGTTGAACTCCTGCAGTCAAATGACGGAACTATGAGAAACGTCTTCTGGACCCTGGGTAAGGACAGGTGTGGGTAGAATTAGAAGTTTGAGGTCTCAGTGCTTCCAGTCAGGTCTGCATGTTTCTGTGACTACCTCCCCCCAAATTCCCGCACCTTCACTGGCTTTAGTTCTTAATCAGTCTCCAGTCCCTTTTAGGCCTAGGGGTGTTAACAGCTTCTCACTACTGCGAGTCCCTGGGTACCTCACCATTCCTTGTTGATTCTCTTAACCTTTGCTCCTTGGTTAAAAAGCCCTTTCAGAAATCCCAGCTGGGAGTGCAGCCGGATTCCTGCAGGATGTGACTGGAGCAGAAGTGAGTGCGGGCCAGCAGCTGAGTCACTGCTCCCTTAGCAGGCCCATGGATCCAAAGTTCAGGGGGATCTGTCTGGAGCAGGCACCCGACAACTGGAGACAGGGTATCCAGGCTGTGTCTCCACAGCAGGCACTGAAGATGCCAGACTTGGACTCGTCAACACATTTGGAGTGCAGCTGATTTCTATGTTTCTTGTTAATGGTCTGGTCTTGTGTGTGTGTGTGTGTGTGTGTGTGTCTCTGTGTGTGTGTGTCTGTGTGTTGCGTGGGGGATGAGAAGTAGGGAGCAAGTCTATTCTGAACAGAAGCTTGAGAGGTGAGGCCCTTGGCCCAACCCACGCTGTGCTTGGCAAACTTAATCCCAGGCTAACTAAACCGGAAGTTCTGAACTATAGCTAGGGAGTCAAGGAGAGTGTGTGTGTGTGTGCGCGCGTGTGTGCGCGCGCGTGTGTGTGTGTGCGCGCGTGTGTGTGTGTGTGTGTGAGGCCCCTCCCCTCAAAGGTAAATAATAATGGTCTACATTTATGGGTGCTTGCTGTGTCCGTCACTACCGTGAGCGCTTTGCTTACAGCACCTCCTGCAAATCCTGGTAACAACTACATTAGGAGGGGGTAAATACTACGCCAGCTTTCCGGGTGAGGACGCTGGCACAGAGTTGAAGCCCGAGGTCTCACCGTGGGGAACCCTATGCGTGGAGAATAACCCAGCTAGACTGTCCCCAGCACCACACGATACCGCCTCTGTGCCCGACTCTGGACTTGAGCTGTGTTGCTGTGTATTACTCGTCTTCATATACTCAGAACCTAGCACCGTGCTGGCACGAGGCATGGTTGTTTGTTGATTGAATGAATGACCTTTTGCTAGGCCGCGAGGACTGTGGCAAACCCCAACAACCAGCGGTTCTTAGGGTTAGATCGCAAACTTTCCTCCGCTGGACGGCGCGGCCGGGCCCATCCTTTCCTTACCGACACCCGGGCTGACCCTAAACGGAGGTGGTTTGCGTCCGCAGGCGCCGGGAAAGGCACAGCAGGCAGCGCCCGGAACAAACCAGAAAAACAGCCCTCGGCTCCGGAGCCCACGGCGGGCACCGCCTCAGGTGCTCTACCCGCGGGATCCAGGGCGTGGCCGCCGCTCACCGCTCGCCCCTCCCGCCCGCTCCCGCCGCCCGAGGTCCGCGGCGCCCGGCCCAGTGGGGGAGGGGGAGGGGAGGCGGTGGGGATGGGAGGGGAGGGGGAGGGAGGGGAGGAGGCGGGGAGGGGCGGGCAAGGGGAGGGGGAGGAGGCGGAGGGGGGAGGAGGCGGAGAGGGGGGAGGGGGAGGGGGAGGAGGCGGGGAGGGGAGGGCAAGGGGAGGGGGAGGAGGCGGGGAGGGGAGGGCAAGGGGAGGGGGAGGAGGCGGAGAGGGGGAGGGGCGGGGTTGGGAGGGGAGGAGGTGGGGAGGGGAGGAGAGGGGAGGCGGAGGGGAGGGGAGGAGGTGGGAGGGGAGGGGAGGAGGCGGGGAGGGGAGGGCAGGGGGAGGAGAAGGAGGCGGGGAGGGGAGGGGAGGCGGGGAGGGGAGGGGAGGCGGAGGGGAGGAGGGGAGGCGGAGGGGAGGGGAGGAGGCGGGGAGGGGAGGGCAGGGGGAGGAGAAGGAGGCGGGGAGGGGAGGGGGAGGGGAGGGGAGGAGGGGAGGCGGAGGGGAGGAGGGGAGGCGGAGGGGAGGAGGGGAGGCGGAGGGGAGGAGAAGGAGGCGGGGAGGGGAGGGGGAGGGGAGGGGAGGAGGGGAGGCGGAGGGGAGGGGAGGAGGCGGGGAGGGGAGGGCAGGGGGAGGAGAAGGAGGCGGGGAGGGGAGGGGAGGCGGGGAGGGGGGGGGAGGCGGAGGGGAGGAGGGGAGGCGGAGGGGAGGGGAGGAGGCGGGGAGGGGAGGGCAGGGGGAGGAGAAGGAGGCGGGGAGGGGAGGGGGGAGGGGAGGGGAGGAGGGGAGGCGGAGGGGAGGGGAGGAGGCGGGGAGGGGAGGGCAGGGGGAGGAGAAGGAGGCGGGGAGGGGCGGGGAGGCGGGGCGGGGAGGCGGGGCGGGGCGGGGAGGCGGGGCGGGGCGGGGAGGCGGGGCGGGGAGGGGAGGCGGGGCGGGGAGGGGAGGCGGGGCGGGGAGGGGAGGCGGGAAGTCACTCCGGACTCTGCCTGCGGTGCGGCCTCCCGCGGAGCCGCTCGGACCTTCCCCGCCGCCCATGGACCCGGCCCAGGCCTCGCCGCCCGAAGTGCAGCTGGAGCTGTGGGCGCTGGCGCGGCAGCCGGACGAGCTCACGCCTCTCAATGGTGCCGTCCGTGTGGACGAGGTGGCCCTCCCGGCCGAGGTAAGGTCCCCTGGCGCTGGCCCCGCTCTCCGGCGGCGGGACCCGGGAGCCGGGCCGGGCAGCCGCGTTTCCGGTTTCCAGCGAGGCTGGGGCGCCCTCGAGCGCTCCGGACGGAGCCGAGTCGCCGCGACCCCTTTCGGCCCGAGCCGTCCCTGCCGCAGCCCTCGGGGCCCGCCCACCCCGAGGCACTCGGGAATCCCAGCGGTGACGCGTGGCCGCTGCGGTCCTCAGAGACGGGCCCCGGAGGCACAGGCGTTCTTTAATTCACGTAGCTTGTAATTCGGTTTTCCTTTTCTCCAGTAGAGAGAATGAGAATGGCAGGTGCGTGTCCCCAGACCCTCTCCTCACCCTCGCGGTCCTGCCGCAGCCCCCGCCCTCTTCCCTGCCCGCCACCCCCACGCACTTGCCGCCTTCTCCCAGCCTGGCCACTTGGTCTGCAGGAGGAGAGAGAGGGGAGAGCACAGAGGAGAGAGCGGTCAGAAGGAGAAGCTGTGGGACGGGGGGTGGGGATGGCTGGGGGTGGAACTTGCCCTGTTTAGTTGAAAGAAAATAATTTCAGGCCGGGCGCGGTGGCTCAAGCCTGTAATCCCAGCACTTTGGGAGGCCGAGGCGGGTAGATCACGAGGTCAAGAGATGGAGACCATCCTGGTCAACATGGAGAAACCCCGTCTCTACTAAAAATACAAAAATTAGCTGGGCATGGTGGTGCGTGCCTGTAATCCCAGCTACTCAGGAGGCTGAGGCAGGAGAATTGCCTGAACCCAGGAGGCGGAGGTTGCGGTGAGCCGAGATCGCGCCATTGCACTCCAGCCTGGGTAACAAGAGCGAAACTCCGTCTCAAAAAAAAAAAAAAAAAAACCAGAAAAAAATTTCAAAGTTCTTGTGTGTTGTGTGGAGGGATGAGACTTCACCCTCTTTGCTTTTACCTTCTCTCAATCCCTAAGAAAGTCCCTGGCGATTTTTAGGCCACACGCTCTTTTCGGATTCAACCCAAGCAATGATGAGAACATTATCCAGTATCATCAAAGACTTGTGAAACTTGGAATTCCCAGCCATCCACCTTCTGATTAACCCCTAAGATTGGCTTGAGGTTTTCTCTCATATAGAGCCCCGACCTGATCTCTCCAGGCCCCACTCCTCCACCCCCAACTGTTTGGCTGCCCAGCTGTTGATTTTAGGGATACGCAGGAAATTCAAAAGTTGAAAGCATTGCTTTTGTTCTACATAGACTCCTGGAACTATTGCAAAGTCTGCTCTTATAGGTACTCTGCAGAGTCATTTGGAAACTTATTTCTGAATAAAATAGGAATGCCACAGAAGAATGAAATTTGAACAAAGATAGTCTGGTCCCCAGTGCAAGTGGCCACAACTGTGAACTTGCTGTATGGATGGTCCTCCAAGACAGTGTCTAGGAATGGGAGTTGGAAATACTTGCCTCAGAGTAGATAGACCTGGACACTCTAAAGACCCCCTAGCTTGGAACTGAATCCAGAGATCTGGTGACACACTTAAAAGTGTGTACCAGGGGCAAGGCTGTCCCATAGTGGTAATATGTGCCTACTTGGGCCTCTGTGAAGCCCGGGAATGCCTTGTTGAAAACAGCTGATGGGTAGAACATGTGAAATCCGTGCAGCGTTCTCCGTGTTCTATAATTCTTTAGCTCCTACCCTGTAGCAAGTGCTCTTTCATGTTCTCATGACGCCCTCATTAGTCAGGTCTGTACAAATACCCCACACTTCTTTGTAAGTTAGCTTTGTAGGTCACCCAGCAGGAGAGCTGTCCTCAGCAACAGGATGGAGTGAAGGTGAAGGGTGACAGGAGCATGTGAAGTGTGTTCAAGGAATGCTTGGACTGGGAAAGCTTTCACAAAGAGGGAAAAAAAAGCCTTGCCTAATGTGTTAATGGTTCTCCTTGGTTCTATAAACTAAAGTGAAGTGTGTTTCAGTTGGAAAAGTCAATAGACATAGGCTCATTAAAAAGATTCAGACACAAGAATTTTGTGTGTTGGTCTCTTTGAACCGTATATTAAGATTTCCAATTTTGAAATGCAGCTTGAGTCCATGTATTTTCATTAACCCTATTTTGTAACTGTCTTGTGACAAACACCTTTGATGCATAAATGCATTTAATTATCACAACTAACTTAAGAGGAAGGTGCCAGTGTTCTGATTTGTCAGCTTGAGGATGCTGAGTGAAGAAATTGAGGGAGGCTCAGAGGAGTTACCAGAATGCTCAGGTTCACTCAGTGGTGCCTCTGAAGCTTGAATGTATGTTTTTAAGGTCTCAAACCTATGCTGTTTTTGTTGATTTACCCTATCTGTTTATCATCTATCTGCATTTAATTAAAATATATGTCAATATTGATATTTATAGTTGCCTCAATTATTAATTACTACAAATTTCTGTAATTTAGGTAATTTATAATTAGGTAATTTAAATGAGCTAGGAGTTGAGTGTCACATAGGGAATGATGGAGTGGCGGATGGCTGGGTGAGGAATCGGGAACAGTGCTGGAGTGACTGGCAAGACAGTTCTTCCTTGGAAGAGCTGTGGTGGGAGAGGGAACAGAAGCAGCAGAAGGAACTTCTTCCCTTGCTCAATCTGCGCTTGGCACTTGAGACAAAGGAATAGAAGCTGCTGAACTCTACTTTGCTGTCACTGTAAACATGGCAGGCTGGTTGGGTCAAAGATGAGAAAGAAATTATGGGTAATAGAGTGAGGCTGCTTTTTTTTTATGGCTCATTGCAGGACCTCTGACTCAGTTTTCAAATAGAAGTCCCAGAGGCATTTTAAGTGATGGCATCATTTGAATAATAACAAACCAATAAATTGATAGTTTTGAGGGAGGTAAGATTTATTTCAATGGGCTAGCTAAAAATTAGCTGCCTTGTCACGTGTTGCTCTGTTTAGGAAAAGAATCAACTGGTTCTTTTGTGCTTGGATCAAACAAGTGGATTAAATCCCACAATGAATATTATAAAGAGTTTTCTACCTGTAAGAAATGTTTCCCTGATCTGTGTAATATCTGTTCCTGATTGAGTTCAAAAGAAGAAAAGCTTTTGGGATCCAAGGGATAGGTATCCTGCCGCTGTGGCAGCATCCTGTGCCATGTATTTAGACCTTTATCTAAAGACGGATATGAATACCTGGGGAATGTTCACAGGACAGTCCCGAAAATTCTCGAGCCATATAATATGCTCACAGAATATAAGATGCAGTTTGCACGTATCAATTATTGAACTGTGTAAAACAATCAGAGTATGTAAGATTCAGTTGCAAATATCTCCGGAAGGCACCTTGCAGAAGAATCTACCTGTGGCCTCTCCGCACGACCTAGAATTTGGGCAAGGGAGATGAAGCCAGTGAAAAAGGCAGTGTGTCTTCATGATGCAATTTTAAGGCAAAACTCAGATGGCACAAGTAGCACACATCTACTATGTCAGAAGCTTTCACCCCCGGGGCACATTGGAATCTCCTGGGGTTACCTCTAAAAGATACTAATTCTTTAGCTGATTCTGATGTGCAGACAGCTGAGAAGCACTGTACACTCAATTGTTTGGCTGGGAGTGTCTGACAGTTTTGTGTGGGTGTGTGTGTTTCTTTTTTCTTTTTTTTTTTTTTGAGACGGAGTTTCGCTCTTGTTTTCCCAGGCTGGAGTGCAATGGCACCATCTCGGCTCACCGCAACCTCCGCCTCCTGGGTTCAGGCAATTCTCCTGCCTCAGCCTCCTGAGTAGCTGGGATTACAGGCACGCGCCACCATGCCCAGCTAATTTTTTGTATTTTTAGTAGAGACGGGGTTTCACCATGTTGACCAGGATGGTCTCGATCTCTTGACCTCGTGATTCTTTTTTCATTTGAGACAGGGTCTCACTCCTGCCCCACAGGCTGGAGTGCAGTAGTACGCTCAGAGCTCACTGCAGTCTCGACCTCTTGGGCTCAAGTGATCCTCCTACTCAGACTCCTCAGTATCTGGGACCATGTGTGTAAACCGTCATGCCTGGCTTTTTAAAAATTTTTATTTTTTGTAGTGATAGACAATTTTATAATGACATAAAGTCTGTGAATATTAACCATGTAAGGGAAGTGCTCAGCGGCCTTGCTGTTAGAGCTGAGGACAGGTCAGTGAGGGCACTAGGCTGCAGGAAGAGGCATTTCCTACAGATGAGGGCTGTATAATTTTGAGCTGAGGTCCTCCAGGAAGTCATAGAGTAATCAGTGCTTTTGTCAACCACTGGAGTCCTGATTTATGATCTCTAAGGGACAGCATAAGTAAATACATGAAACCCCGTCTCTACTAAAAATACAAAAATTAGCTGGGTATGGTGGCGCGTGCTTGTAATCCCAGCTACTTAGGAGGCTGAGGCAGGAGAATCGCTTGAACCGGGAGGCAGAGGACGTGCATTGACACTCATTCTACGGCTCATTTGAAACTAGATGTTTCCTTTTGTGCTAATCTTTATGGGTCCCAGCTGCCTTTTGTGTGAGGGCTGAAAACAGCACCCGGCCCTTGGCCTCAGGAGCTGTCGGGGGGGCGATGTTTCTGTACCCTGAGAAGTTAGAGATTCCTTGTGTTTCCATGTCTTTTGCCTGTGTGCCTTGTGTGACTTTCTGCAGGTTTTGAGTGGGTATGAGAGGTGACCTATTCCTGGACTCTAGAAATGCACTTAACTCAAGAGGGTTTTCTTTTGGCAAGATATCCCCAGGGGCCAGGCGCAGTGGCTCACGCTTGTAATCCCAGCCCTTTGGGAGGCCGAAGCAGGTGGATCATGAGGTCAGGAGTTTGAGACCAGCCTGGCCAACACAGTGAAACCCTGTCTCTACTAAAAATACAAAAATTAGCTGGGCATGGTGGCAGGTGCATGTAATCCCATCTACTTGGGAGGCTGAGGAAGGAGACTTGCTTGAACCGCGGAAGCAGAGGTTGCAGTGAGCCGAGATCGCACCACTGCACTCCAGCCTGGGTGACAGAGCTAGACTCTGTCTCAAAAAAAAAAAAAGATATCCTCAGGGCCTTTAGTGCTCCCCTCGCGCCTGTGACAGACCGGGCCTCAGCGTCAGTGTAAAGTGCACTTAGGAAATCCAATGTAAGTCTCCTCCTCTAGATTTTCTCAAGTCCATTCTTAAAATTTCTGGAGCCCTCTACAAGTAAACAGCACACAACTGTTAAATGTATATTACTCGTAGGAGGCACAGGTGTGGAATATATGAACAAGGAAGTTTAAGAGCACGCCTCCTCTATGTGGTTTCAGTTTATCTAGAAAGATAAGGCTAGTCTCTGTTTGTATTTGAATCTGAAACCAGACAGGGCGGTCAGTGGCGGCAGCAGATGGGCTATGTGGACAGTTCATGTATTGGAAGATCTCACTGCGGGCAGGTGGGGAGGGAGGCTTCCACTTGAGGGGAGATTTGACCTCGCTCCTGAAGGGTGGGAGGCCTCAGACCAGAGAGGTCTCAGCCCTGTTAAATCAATTGATTCACTTCAGAGGGTTTAAAATTACAAGCCATGGCCTGCTCCCACCTCCCTTAGAATCTGGTCCACTAGACACAGGTGGGGCCTAGGTATGTGTCAGTTAAAATCTTCCCCCAGTGATTCAGACGTGCGGCTAGACTTGGGCACCTCTAATTGAGAAGGTTGGAAATACAGTCCAAATGTGGACTGACCACTTCCAAAATAAGAATGGGAGAGAAAGCAGGCCAGGTGTCAGTCAGGAGGGAGGCTCCCGGAGTGCCAGAACGCTGAGGAGTGACCGAGGTGAGGCTCCGTCCTTCAGCCGAGCTCCTGTTCATTATTTAGCAGATGCTTTGTGTCCATTATGTCTAGTTTTTGCAACAATCCCGTGAGCTACATTTAGTATTTATATATTTTAAAGTTGAGGACTTTGGGGCCTGTGAGTTTCAGTAGGTTGCTTAAAGCCGCCTTGCTTTGAAGTGGAATACCTTGGTTTGGAATCCAAGTGTGTTAGATACAGAAACGTATTTTTTCCCCATTGTATTCTGTCATTTACCATGGTCTCCATGTAAGAATATCCTAATGGTGGAATGGGAAGTGGAAGACTCATGGGACCGTACGGGGGAAGGGGGGGCCTCTCCATGACACCCTCATAAATCGGAGCTCCATACAGGGAAGCTGGGAGACTCGGAGAGCTTTGTGGAGACAGAGCAGGGATGGGTCCTGGCTCATCTCTCTGGATTGCGTCTCTGAAATGGGCAGTGCACACCCTGAGGGCTGTTCAGATTAAGTGAAACGACACTGGTGCTCAGTAAACCATGGCAGTTGTACTTGTTTTCACTGACCCCACCTGTCTCCCTCCAGCCTTCTCACCCCAGCCTTTGTAGCTTATTTCCTGTCGTCTCTTTGCCCTGTCCTTTCATTTCCCTTCCCCGCACTTTTTCACATGGAACCTAGGCCACAGCAGTAGCCTTGGAGATTTTTCTTGTTGTTTGTACTCTAAACTACACATCACTTTCCCTTAATTTTCAACTAGGCTCTGGTGTTTCAAAACCTTCAACTTACCCAATTAAGTCCAATCTACTCTGGGACAGCAATCCACGTCCTCTGGGTGTGCTCCCAGCCTTTCACTCTCTCTAATCTCAACTTCCATTACTTGCCTCTGAAAGCCACATTCCAATCAGCAGACTAGTCTGCTTGTCAGTTCCACTGTGAACCAACACTGTGGATGGTCTTTCCTGGGTTTGGAAGGCCTTCAAAAACCCATCTTTCAAAATCCTGCCTGTTCTCCCCACCTCAGAGCCCCCAGAGCATTTCCTTGCTAACTTCTCTGTGGGGTTCTGTTCTGCCTCCGATGTATATATTTGCAAACTTGATTCAGGAGACTGTTGCCCTGGGGTCAGGGTCTTGCTGCCTTCATTTCTGTGTCACTGGCCCATCCTAGGTATTCAGAAATGTCTGTTGCAACAAAATGACTGCCTCACAATCTCCCTCTGCCTTTCCAGGCTAACAAGGAAAGCCCCTGGAGCTCCTGTAATAAGAATGTGGTTGGAAGGTGCAAACTGTGGATGATCGTCACCTCCATTTTCCTAGGTTTCATTATAGTGATCATCGTAGGCTTATGTCTTGCTGGAGGTAAGAGGATTTCGATGTGGATAAGTTGACACGTTCTAAGAACTTTTGTGACTTACACTGAAATGGAAGATGTACTCATGGCCATTTCATTATTTATTACACGAATTTAAGACTGGGTCAGAATATATTGTATGGGTAGGAGCTATGCCTGATTCTTGCGTTTTTGTTGTTGTATTTTCTCGTTTTATAAGCTCCAGAAGTAGTATAGAAACCCGTGTTTTACTTTAAACTCTGCTCATTGGATGTCGTAGAGGTTTCTTAACGTTTTAACTTACTTAAACACCGATTTATATTTTATTATATCCTGATACGCATTAATTTGGATGCTTTTTCTTATCATTTGTTTGCTAAAAATAATTATACTTCCTCTGGTATGTCTAATATATTACCATAATTGTAAAATAATAAATTTGAAAGAGTTTTAAAAAACTTTGAATAACCATGTGTCCATAAGCTGTCATTATTTTATTTATGTATTTATTTTATTTTATTTTTTTTTTGAGGGAGAGTCTCACTCTGTCATCCAGGCAGGAGTACAGTGGCATGACCTCGGCTCACTGCAACCTCTGCCTCCCAGGTGGAAACAATTCTTGTGCCTCAGCCTTCGAAATAGCTGGAGTTACAGTCATGTACCACCATGCCCAGCTAATTTTTGTATTTTTAGTAGAGATGGGGTTTTCCCATGTTTTCCAGGCTGGTCTTGAACTCCTGACCTCAAGTGATCTGCCCGCCTTGGTCTTCCAAAGTGCTGGGATTAGAGGCATGAGCCACCATGCCTGTCCCAATTTTAACATATTTTAGAAATGACTGTTTATTATATTAGTGTTTCATGTGTGTATAAAACAAAAAACTTACACAATGCTAACTATATATGACTACTACATCTATTACATATATTATTGTATTTTGTTGCTTATTTTGATTGAAAAATGATACGTGTTCAGTTACCCGTAAAACCCACCTATACTATTAATATTTTGTCATGTTTTCTTCTAGTCTTTTGCTTACTTGCATTTCTAAAATAATTTGAGATTAGATTTCTTTATAGTCTGTAGCCCACCTTTAGGATTTCGATGTTATATTGAGATCATTTTGCCAAGTCATTGAAAATCCTTTGTGAACACTATTTTTTTAAGGATTTCATGATACAGTCTTCCACATCATTCACAGCCCTTTAGGTAGTTAACAATTTTTTAGTGATTATTAGTATTTGTTAAGTTTTTACAGCGCATCAATACAGCATCCTCCAGTGGACAATCACTTCAATTTCAAAATGAGAAAAAAGAAAACTGTTTTTATTGATATGTGGGGGTGATGGTAGAGGGGGGCTCACCTGAGGCTGGGAAACTCCTGAGCATGATCCAGCCTTCGTGTGGACGTGGGTGGAATCTGTCTCTCAGTAACAAACCCAGTCATAGAACGAGCGCTCTCCAGTCTCACCAGAGGGGCTTCTTAGGAATTGTCCTCAGAAAGTACATTTTCCATTTACCTCTTGTTACCCCTTCTCTCAATCCTTTACTTTCCTGCCTTAGAGTTTTGTAGTTCCTGAAGGAATAGGAAACCTTTGCTGACATCAGCCAACCTCCAGCACATGAGTTTCCTGGCCAGGCACCCTGTCTACTTGTTTATTTAGGGCATCGTTTAGGTGTGATGGGTGACTCTGAGGCTGTAAGCTGGCAGTAAGGCGGGAGAAAGCTAGGAAGGTGTCCTGTACCTTCTCCATCATGCTGAGGGTAATAGTTTTGGCATGAGCATCGCCATATGTCCTATTCATATCAATTCCAACACATGGATGTTGAAAATGAGGTTGAGTAGCACAGTCTTTCCTGACACAAGTAGCTGGTGCTGTCCTAGAAGTTGATATTTCAATCCTGTTGACATCCGGTGCCTATCATAAAGGACGACGCAAGAGCTGTAGATGGTTTAATAGTCAGGATTCCAAAGCACGAGTCCCAAGATCTGTCCTCCATTCTCAAAAAGTCATTCCAACCTGTTCACCTCACAAAGAACAATCTGCAGAGGAAGGTATCTCACTTTCCTTCACAGTTTTTTCTGGAGATGTGAAAGGTTATGGGATAATACTCAGGGAAGAATTTTTTTAACACTTTAATGCAAACTTTCTTTTTAATTTAATTGTAAATTTGTGTTCTAACATGCCAATGCTGTAAGATTTTTCAAACTACTTTTTTAATCAAGGAAATACTTTTATTTTACTTGGCATCTCAGCTCTTAGGTTTTCAAGCCTGCAAGGAAAGTCATGTTACACATGGGGGTGGAGGGGATGTAACAGGTAAAGAGGAGTGGGGCAGGGGCTCCTTTCTGTGACACGTGGGGGTGGAGGGGATGTGATAGGTAAAGAGGAGTGGGGCGGGGGCTCCTTTCCGTGACATGTGGGGGTGGAGGAGCTGTAACAGGTAAAGAGGAGTGGGGCAGGGGCTCCTTTCTGTGACACGTGGGGGTGGAGGGGATGTGATAGGTAAAGAGGAGTGGGGCAGGGGCTCCTTTCCGTGACATGTGGGGGTGGAGGAGCTGTAACAGGTAAAGAGGAGTGGGGCAGGGGCTCCTTTCCGTGACATGTGGGGGTGGAGGAGCTGTAACAGGTAAAGAGGAGTGAGGCGGGGGCTCCTTTCTGTGACAGCCCCAACCTTGTGACCAGCTTTGTAGGCATGTTGGGTGAGATGATCTGCAATAATCAGCCACTTCCTAATTGCCAAGCCCATTAATATGAATCAAATATTTATGGAACTTTCGAGAACTATGTGGGACACGAAATGCTGTCTGGGGAAAAGACACTGTTGGGAGAGTAAAGGGCTTTGCCTGTGGCCATCTGGATTTACTGGGAGACTGAGGTTCCTCAGGAAGTACACTTACATTTGCCGTTTGTGGCCTGCTTACCCTTCTCTAGACCCCTTGATCTCCTGTCTCAAGGCCCTGTAGTCTTCAGACTGAAGCTTGGAGGCAGAAGTGTTAACTGTGGCTCTTCAGTAGGCAGGTCTTTGCAAAACTACCCAGAAAGGCTGAGGAAGCTGAGAGGCAAAACAAAAAACAAAAACCAGCAACTGACAAATCCATTACTCAGAAAGAAACATTTAACAGGGTTTTATGGGGCTGGGCGCGCTGGCTCACGCCTGTAATCCCAGCACTTTGCGAGGCCGAGGCGGGTGGATCACGAGGTCAAGAGATTGAGACCATCCTGGTCAACATGGTGAAACCCCGTCTCTACTAAAAATACAAAAAATTAGCTGGGCATGGTGGTGCATGCCTGTGATCCCAGCTACTCAGGAGGCTGAGGCAGGAGAATTGCCTGAACCCAGGAGGCAGAGGTTGCGGTGAGCCGAGATCGTGCCATTGCACTCCAGCCTGGGTAACAACAGCAAAACTCCCTCTCAAAATAAGAAAACAAAAAAAAAACCAGGGTTTTATGAACAGAAGCCATGCCTTGGGCAGCAGTGAGAGGAGACGGTGCATTCCTGCACCATTACCCCAAAGGCCCAGGGCTTAAATGCCATAGAGAAAGGGTATGCGTGCTTCAGAAGGGATGTGTTGGACAATTTCCTAAGGGCAGGATTTATGACATGTAGATAACGTCAAGGTTGTTTTGACCGCCAGTGAGATTTATGGTAAGTATGTGCTCTCATACAAGGAAGAGTAGATGAAACAGAAATCTTAGAGGCATTTCCAGAGCTGGGATTAATCAGAGAAGTTAACATGGTAAATTAACAACTAAGTGAAATTCCTTTAAAAAAAATTTTTTTAGCTTTATTTCACTTTTAATGAAATTTGATTTTATGAGGTTCAAAGTGATATTTCCATACATGAATACATTGTGGAATGATCAAATCAGAGTAACTAGCGTATCCATTACCTCAAATATTTATCATTTCTTTGTGGTGAGAACATTTAAAATCCTCTGTTAGCTGTTTTGAAATATATAACACGTTATTATTAACTGCAGTCACCCTGCCAGGCAACAGGTCACAGAACTCACTCCTCTTGTCTGAGCCTTGTACCCATCGACTGATGTCCCCCCTTTCCCTGTTCAGCCTCCTCCCACCCCAGCCTTGGGCGAGCACCATTCTACTTTCTACTTGTGTGAGTTTCACTTCTTAACATTTCACATGTAAGTGAGATAATGCAATATTAGTCTCTCTGTGCCTGTGCCAGGCTTATTTCACTTGGCATAATGTCTTCTAGTTTCATCCACATCGTTGCCAATGACAGAATTCCTTTTTTTATTTTTAAGCTAAATAGCATTCTATTGTGTTTCTTTAGCCTACATAGTTGTGCAGTGGGGTGGGCACAAAATGGGACGGTGAAAGCATCTCAGAACAGAAAGTTGGGGAGGGCAGGGTATCTAGTGGGGAGTTGTATTTTGTCACTCGAATTAAGAATTGTCAGCATGTGGTGATAATAAAAGCAGATCAACTTGTAGTAGGTTTTATTGTTGCTGCTTGTTCTCTACAGACTGTGCAACCTTTATGGCCTGTACGTGGGGTGGGCTTGCCCACTACTCTAACCTTGTATGCCATTGAAGTAATGGCAAATTCAGGATCATGGCTTAGCTTAAGACACTGAATGGGGCTTTGTATGCATTAGGGGAAAAAAAGGCTAGTCATACACTGGACTCAAAATTGACATGGACATTTTTTAATGTCCAAATTTATGGGCAGAGCCCAGGGAATTCTGTTGAGACTCTTTAGAGAAAAGGTATTAATGGATTCTTTCCTTCTCCATAAGGAATTATAAATTTCTTGAATTGAAAGGTCCAGAAAAGAAAGCCTTCATCTTTTTCTCAGTCATTTTCTTTCTGGATAATTTGGAGACCCAGTTGAGTATTATCAAGGGTTCTCCTTTCTTCACTAATTCACCCTAGTATTCGGGGGGTCGGGACCCCGAATAACACTTTACTAATTGAAGTTTTGGTCGGGGCAAAATATTTTAAATGTTGCAAAAACAAAACTATGACAAGTAGGTGGATGCTTAGAAACATGATTTCAATT